TTGTTTTTTGTTTGGTGTTTGCTTTTGGTTCTGGTTGTTTGTTTGTTTTGTTTGTTTGTTTTGTTTGTTTTTTCTGTTGGCATCGTGACAGCTCATTGGACTATGTACTGGTCCTACTTCAGTTCAACTTTTGAAGCCCACCTTTGTGTAGATGGATGACGTCTTTGCATTAATTAATTGAATTAGTCAATATGCAACTGGCTTACCGGCATGATGAACGACCTGGCGAAAGCTATAAGGCGTTGGACGGAAAAAAACATCACCGCCCATCCACTTCATCCGTGCTGAGGTGAGACGTGCCCAGGCTCGCATCGTCAAGGATCAAAAGCTGCTGCATCTAGCATCCAGGCACACCTCTGAGGAGCCGGCACCAAATACTCCATATGATTTGAGGGCTTCTATTTTTCCAAGCATCTTTGATATATGCAACTTGTGCTTCCTGATTGATTGGGGCGGAGTGCTCCGTTCCTGCATGAGTGGAGCCGTAGGAGGCAAGACTGCCATGGTAGTGGAAAGATGCCCATAGTCCGAATATGAAAGGGCATGATGGCCCTCAATAATCAATGCACCTGTTTTTGAGCTCCCCGTCTCCAATTTGGAGTCAACTGAATGCTTCATGCGATCCCATTCGAAATCGTTGCCATCATAAAAGGATTCCGTGCAAAAAAAATGAAATATGGGGTTATCTTCTGCGTTAACTCGGCCAAGCTCATACTTGTAGCAAGCGACTGCCAAAAACAGAGGTCCCTCAAAATCTCAGCCACATCACGCTTTGCAATAGTCACCGACTGATTGGGCGTTCTGCTCACCATCACTCTTGGAGTCCACTTTCACTCGATCCCCCAAACAAGGCGGTTGTCCCGATTTTCTCGGACGGGAGTCCAAAGATGGTGGTTGTTCCCAGGTTCTGGGTGCTTGACGCAAGACCACTGAACCAGCATAACCCCCGTGTGCACGAGACGGGCTGTCAATTCCAGGGTCATTCTGGATGGCATCGAGCCACCTCTTGACTGCTCGGCGCAAGCATGCAACCTGAGGAGAAAAGGCTGAAACTCAGATCCAGCAGGTAAAGGTGTGAGAAATTTCGCAAAATCTTCCAGGGCATCGGCTTTAGGGACTGCATAGCCCAGCAGCGCAACAGTGGTGGCCCTGTGTCACAATGTGGTCTCTCACTTGTGAGGACACTCCAGCTTCATCCAAAAGTCGTCTTTGGCCAAGCTTGTTTTTTACTCCGCAGATAGGGAACCAAACCAAGCCAGAATCACATTTGTGATGACGTGAGAAATGTTATGAAAAATGCCAAATTGCGGAATTGCCTTGGGCATATGCTGCACGATTGTTTTTTTCCTCGGAGGTTGGCCGATTCAGCTTAAGGGCCCGGTCCTTCTCCGGAACCCTGTTGAACCTGACCCGGAACCTTTTCGGAACCTCGTTGAACCTGACATGTGCACACCGGAGCTATTCTGGGCTAAAGGCCCCATTAGCTGCATTAGCTTACGCTGTTGGGGAATAAACATTGTTGCTTCGCTTTTGCCTTACTCATTCAGAGATCACAGTTGCACCCCTTTCGAATACCGACTGGGTGGAAATAATCCATTGACATAGATGGATTCGATTAAACCAGAAATCATTGGTTAGATTTCGCAAAAAAAAATCCAGCAATGAAAAAGTGAAAAAATCTAAAGCGCGAGGGACTGCTGTGAGAGCGGGGATTGAAAAGGAACTGTTTGAAAATCTTTGTATTAAATACCCTTATACTTAAATCTGTAAATATATACACATATAATATAGGTTGGTGCTGTTGGTTCATGTTCGCCTTGTTTGTGATGTTATATCTACTTGTATGAAATATAACTTAATGTAATGAATGTCCACCTTGAACAATTTGGATGCAACAAATGCCTGGCGAAAGATGCATACATTAACACGGGTCAAACCCTGCTGTTTTTCAAAGACCGGATCCCATGATTTTTCCGCGCTTTGCTTTGGAAAAAAGGTGAGGACCGATTTTGACCTTCTTGTCAATTTTTTCCGGACTTGCGTTGTCAGTGTGTTGTGAAGAACCAGTTTTCAGTGGAAATTTCCGAGCACGAATTTCTTGCGCTTGTGTGTGTAGTGGATATATGGATATATAGACATATGGATATATGGAAAAATGGATATATGGAATATATGGATATGATATATAGATCTAGATATAGATATAGGTATATATATATATATACGCGTAGATATTTGGATTTAAAAATAGATAAATATGAAAATACATGAAAATCTAGATATCATATGGATATAGATCATAGATATACATATACAAATGCACACACACGTTTACATTTACATTTACATATACATATACACATAAACATATACACATATAAACAGAAATACACACACATATATATATACATATACATGTATACAAATATACAAATACATATATACATGTATACATGTATACATATAGACATATAGACATAAATTCAAAAATACATATACATATATACATACATACATATATACATATATACATATATACATATATACATATATACATATATACATATATACATATATACATATATACATATATACATATATACATATATACATACATGCATACATACATACATCTTTACATACAAACATAAAAAAATCATGTAAACATATTTACATATATACATGTCAAGATATGTACATATATACATATTTACATATATACATATATACGTATATACGTATATACGTATATACATATATACATATTTACATATACATAAATACATATTTACATATACATATACGTATATACATATAGACATATACACATATACACATATATACATTTATACATATTTACTCGTATACATACTTGCAAAAAATCATGTATTCATTGAAACAAATACAAATGTATACAAATGTATACAAATGTATACAAATGTATACAAATGTATACATACATACATACATACATATATGCTTACATATATACATACATATATATATACATTACATACATACATACATACATACATACATATACATACATATACATACATACATATACATATACATATACATATACATATACATATACATATACATATACATATACATATACATATACATATACATATACATATACATATACATATACATACATACATACATATATTCGTATATACGTATATACATTTATACATATATACATATATACATATTTACATATATACATATATACCTATATACATATATACCTATATTTCTATATGCGTATATGCATATTTACATATATATATATATATACGTACATATATATATATTCGAACTGTGATTTATTTATGCGTTTGCACGCCCACGGCGCGAGAATGCAGTGTTTGGTGAAAAAAAAAATGCGTGGTTTTAGTGCAGCCGGGTTCGTTGAGAAACAAATAGGGGGTCCCAAGTGAAAGGGACCATAACATATGAACTTGAAATGTTTGCGACTGCTCTGGCCACGGACTTGTGGCACAATGGAGATGAACATGATTTACGTGTGCATTTTCGGGACAATGATGGTTTCCGCTCTTCCATGATACGTGCGGTTGCTTCTGGGACGGTTGGTCAACGCATGATGTTTGATAATTTTTTGCTGGAAAGGAAACAATTCTTCGAGGACTTGGTCTGCAAGGGTTCCTACAGAAACCAATGTAAGTGATTTCTCCTTATGTCTCCGGCCACATGTTTTACCTACTGGAAGTCGTCAGGGGTCAGTTGAGGTGGCAGAAAAAAATCAGAAAATTTGGCAATTTGTGGAGATTGTGGGGGACACGAGATGTTAAAAGGGGGAGCACAGATGTTCGAGACCCCCAGTGTGAAAAAAAAACTTGCAGTTTTATTGACTTCAACATTGCCTGGCAACCAATTGACAGTGAGCAGTCAAACCGATTGGGAAAACAAATTGATATGGGTGATGGCTGGGTGGGCAATGCTATCCAATATTCTGTAAAGTTGTCTCTCAAACGGTGGGTGAGGAGGGTTGCCTTATTTTGTGGGCCAAGAACTTAGCACGTACCGTCGGCGTGATGTTTTCTGATAGTTGCCAAATCAAGCCGTTGGGGCTAAAGATGGCCCATTCTGTTACACATTCGGGCCCAACAAACATGATTTAAGTAGACACATACTGTAACTGTACTGGGATAAATCCTAACAGTAAATCCACCATTTTTTGGAACATTTCGATTGATGTGGTTTTTTTTGCCAACACCGACTCATCGCTTTTAGGTGAAGGCCCGATGCCAGCCCCAAAGGTGCGACCCATGTTGGGCATTTTTTTCAACTCGTCTCCAAACTGTGGCGCTGGACACTTGTTGATAGCAACGCGTTTTTTTTTTCATAGTCTGGGCAGCAGAGCAAACCAAGAGGGATAGTTGGTTGATTTTTCGCCGTTGTCCATCTGCGATCTCCAATGTCTCAGGTGGGATCGACAGGTGCGGGCTGTGAAGACATTGGTTGGTTCATTGGTTGGTTGAAAAAATGCATCTCCATCCCGATTTGGGAACACAATGGCATGGCCAACGTTTCCATGGCCACCGTCCAGGCGGCCCAGAGACGATCACAGGCGCCCCAAAGTCGGGTTTGTTGGGTTTGATGTCACCCCTGGATTACCAAAATTTGGTTGATTAGCTACCTTAGCTACCCCAAAAATCGTGTTTTGATTGGTATTCTCCTAGGATGTCCCCAAAAATTGTTTTTGAAATTCCTACAAAAAATTGCAAACCAGAACTCCTCTCTGCAGGAGGAACGACCAGCTCTGCACGGGTGGTGAAGTGTGGGACACAGCTGCAGCAGATTAAAATACTTTTGATCCACCCACAGATGTTGGGCATTTGACGTGTTGAAAAATCTACAAGGTTTGATAAACGGCCACTTAGGAGAAATCCTCCGGGTTGGTTGTAAAATTGCAATTTTTTATGATTAAAAAAAAATGCTGAGAAAGAATCCGATGCTTTAAGATATCCATGCCGAGGCTCCCACAGCTACAGCCAAGTGCGGAGTGAGCCCTGCGGCCTGAGGGTTACTGCTGTACATCATCCCAGTAAGCATTTGAGACCCATTTTACATCCCCCTAGTACTAGAGTATACCCAAGAAGCACACTTAGGAATGACTTTTGGGTTTACCTCATCACTTCTGATTGACCATAGAAGAGGATTGAGATCAATTTTCCTGTTTATTTCTTGATCACGCGAATATATGTATAATATGTGTACTGTTTGTACATAGACGTTGCCATCGGGCAGGTACAGCACTTTGCGTTTGGCAAAGCTCCAACCTTCAGCCAAGTTGAAGACATGGGACACACGCCGAGCTGCTCAGATGGCGGGTCATACGTCTGAAAGGATGGCTGGGCGTGGCTGGGTATGGGTCGCCGCGATATGATCAATAAGACGTACAATGTGGTAAATCCGACAATACACCTACCATTTGGGGGAGTTTTTTTAACTACCATTCCACCCCTGGTTTGTAATTCGGTTTTTCACATTCGCTGATTTTGCGGTGATGCTGAGCAACATGCTTGGTTTTCTGGTGCAAAGTCAATACCAGAACAATTGCAGGGTGAAGGGTGAACATCAAAGAGTCCTTTCTATTCAGGGGATGTTTATCAGGGTGCCGGAGTTTTGACCTCCAGCCCTCTGTCGGTTTGCAGATCTTGGGTTTTGACGCAGGTCAAAGGGTGTTTCTCTGTTTGATTCAGCTGAGTTAAGGCCTGTCTGGCCGAGCAGGGCAGGTGTCCTCAGATTCTGAGCTTCGGTAGCAAAGTTGAAGACTGTCATTGAGTCATAGTCGAATTTTCAGGCAAGATTCTAAGATTCCGGTGATTTTGAAGAGATCTGGTTTCTGACAGGTCAACAGAGGGAGGCCTTCTGTCAGTTTCCCAGCACCGCCTGGGTTTGTACGTGTATTCCCAACAGGGGCGGGTGCTGTAACGTGCCAGGTGTTTCTGTTTGGAGTTGGAGGCAGTTTCACTGGTTGAATCGTTTGTCGATGAAGTCGCGAGTCAATGGTCATCAATGTTCTATTTATATATATATATACATCTATTTATCAAATTTATCAAGATGATTCAAGATGTTTGCGTGTTTGGATCCCAAGTACTACTGATTACTACTGTTGGTCAAGTGTCTCCTCGTTTGGTGTGAAAGTTTCCTTCTATAGTCGGTTTAAATCGATGCTGCTTTTTGTTTGCCAAATCCCAAATCTCACTTCCGCTGGTTGACATTCACGATTTTAGTGCTCACGATTTTAGTGCTCACATTTTTACTTACACGCGCATTTGGGTCAGTATATCAATTTTGCGGTCAAACCTTATTTTGATAGCGAAATCACTTCCTTTGTCGTATCATGTCCCCATTCCAGTTTTTTTCGGTGAACTTTTGGTCCAACAAAAATATGGCAAAACCAATCCATCGAACCATTCGCCAAAGGCCTGCGACCACCCCTAGTAGAGGCGAGAGGCAGGACTGGGACTGGAAGGACCCCCCAACACATCAATTTCTCCAGTTTTGGCATGTGAAAGAAAGGGCTTGATTGATTTGAAACCAGAGGAAGTAGTCATCTTCTTGGGTGAAGGGAAGTGGAAGAGAAGTTGAAGCAGGCATGATGAATGTCAAGCAGACTACAATCGTGGAATTTTCAAGATGGCCTGTGTTGTCTAGGTTTTGAGGCTGCAAGGACCTTATTGTGCCCTCAAGTCGCAAGCTCTTATTCAGTGACGATTCGGTGTGATTGATGTTTTGGGGATTTTTGATCTCACTTGTAGGGATTTCCCACCGGCTGAATAATGGACATCTCGTTTGTTTTACGCAGTACCACTGGCAGGTCGGGCATGGCAACCATCTCACAGACCTCCACGGCATACCCCTACACAAGGCCTGAACGGCTGGGCTCTGAGTAGCTGCATGGTAGCCCTGTAAACTGTAGGTTGGCAATCAGCCTCGAAAGCCATTGAAGAGAATGTTTGTTGCGCCTTAGTACGTACAGTCCGTAACCTGCAGCTGGGTTAGGGATCTAACGCTTGTTCTTTGTGGGCCTGAAAAGCCTTTAAGAGAATCATTATGTCCTCTGTAGCCCTGTCGGCCACCCCGGGTTAGGGGTCTAACACTTGTTCTTTGTGGTTCTGGAAAGCCTCCTGTCGGCCAACCTGGTTAGGGGGCTAGCACTTGTTCTTTGTGGTCTTGGCCAGCATGTCCTCTGTAGTCCTGTAGGTTGGCAACCTACAGCTAGGTTAGGGGGCTAGCACTTGTTCTTTGTGGGCCTCAAAAGCTTTTGCCAGGACCAGCATGTCCTCTGTAGCCCTGTAGGTTGGCAACCTACAGCCAGGTTAGGAAGCTAACACTTGTTCTTTGTGGGTCTGGAAAGCCTTTAAGAGGAGCAGCATGTCCTCTGTAGCCCTGTAGGTTGGCAAGCTACAGCCAGGTTAGGGGGCTAACACCTGTTCTTTGTGGGCCTGAAAAGCTTTTGCGAGGACCAGCATGTCCTCTGTAGCCTTGTAGGTTGGCAACCTACAGCCAGGTTGGGGGGCGAACACTTGTTCTTTGTGGGCCTGAGAAGCTTTTGCGAGGACCAGCATGTCCTCTGTAGCCCTGTAGGTTGGCAACCTACAGCCAGGTTAGGGGGCCAACACCTGTTCTTTGTGGGCCTGAAAAGCTTTTGCGAGGACCAGCATGTCCTCTGTAGCCTTGTAGGTTGGCAACCTACAGCCAGGTTAGGGGCTAACACTTGTTTTTTGTGGGCCTTATGTGGACGTGGAAAGCCTTTAAGAGGACCCGTAGGTTGGCAACCTACAGCCAGGTTAGGGGGCTAACGCTTGTTCTTTGTGGGCCTGCAAAGCTTTTGCGATGACCAACATGTCCTCTGTAGCCATGTAGGTTGGCAACCTACACCCAGGTTAGGGGCTAACAGTTGTTTTTTTGTGGGTCTTATGTGGACGTGGAAAGCCTTTAAGAGGACCCGTGGGTTGGCAACCTACAGCCAGGTTAGGGGGCTAACGCTTGTTCTTTGTGGGCCTGCAGAGCTATTGCGAGGACCAACATGTCCTCTGTAGCCCTGTAGGTTGGCAACCTACAGCCAGGTTAGGGGGCTAACAGGTGTTCTTTGTGGGCCTGGAACGCCTTTAAGAGGACCAGCATGTCCTCTGTAGCCTTGTAGGTTGGCAACCTACAGCCAGGTTAGGGGCTAACACTTGTTTTTTGTGGGCCTTATGTGGACGTGGAAAGCCTTTAAGAGGACCCGTAGGTTGGCAACCTACAGCCAGATTAGGGGGCTAACGCTTGTTCTTTGTGGGCCTGCAAAGCTTTTGCGATGACCAACATGTCCTCTGTAGCCCTGTAGGTTGGCAACCTACACCCAGGTTAGGGGCTAACAGTTGTTTTTTTGTGGGTCTTATGTGGACGTGGAAAGCCTTTAAGAGGACCCGTGGGTTGGCAACCTACAGCCAGGTTAGGGGGCTAACGCTTGTTCTTTGTGGGCCTGCAGAGCTATTGCGAGGACCAACATGTCCTCTGTAGCCCTGTAGGTTGGCAACCTACAGCCAGGTTAGGGGCTAACAGTTGTTTTCTTGTGGGCCTTATGTGGACGTGGAAAGCCTTTAAGAGGACCTGTAGGTTGGCAACCTATAGCCAGGTTAGGGGGCTAAAACTTGTTCTTTGTAGGCCTGAAAGGCTTTTGCGAGGACCAGCATGTCCTCTGTAGCCCTGTCGCTTGGCAACCTACACCCCCCAAATGCGGCTATATATGCCATTATATGCCCAAATCATCACAATGATTCTTGGTAGCCTTCCGGTCTCAGCAGTGTGCAGTAAAGCAGCACAACTTGATGAGGGGCCAGCTGCATAAGAATGGACAGATGTGGAGATAGTTGTAGCATATCCGTGTGTGATTTGAAAAACAGGAAAGTCTTGCAGCCTATCATGTTCGGCATTCCTCACCTCTCGCATTTTGATTCACTAGAATTTTTTCATAGTGATCTTCTTGCATGATTCGCAATGGGCTGGATGATCCCTGAAGTCTGCCAACATAGCTGGGAGATGGATGTGAAGCCAGACATTTGCGAATTGTCATACCCCAATTGCCAGTCATGAATGGGATCAGCCTCTATCATGATGGATCCCTGAAATTCTAAAAGGGATATATCCCCCATTCAACTGGTAGATAATCCATGATAATCCTATATAGTTTTTTTTTTTTTTTAACGACCCGATTTACAACTGACTGTATCACTTTCCAATACTGTCCACCAGAATTTGAAGCGACAATTTGGTAGGAACTTCCGATTTTGTTGCATACACCCCAATGACTTCCCTGGTGGAGCACCACTGTCCCCGCGACGCGTCGTGGGGTGAGGCGCTCGCAGAGTCAACTAGTCAGCAGGTGCCGATGGAAGGGCCGCAGGGCAGCCGGCAAAGCGAAATGGAGAGTCGTGTGCTTTGAGGATTTGTGAAAGATTTTTGTGTAATGTGGTAAACCCAATTTCATAAACCTCTATTGGGGATGGTTTATGGCATTGGGTAGTTTAACACATTATATTTGTGTGAAAGATAGCATTGAGTGATCGCAGTTCTTTTCAACCTCACCCTGAAAGCAAAGTTCTGGCGGGCCCAGATTTGTATCTCCATCAGCCACATTGGTCTTCTGGGATATCCATAGCGCTAGCCCTGGATCGGATTCGCAGATTGCCAGGGTTTGCTTCGTTTCAGGTCTCTTCGACTCGATTCTCAAATCTTCTCATTGGATCATGAGGACTTGACGTCATCGGATTCCAAGGGTTGTTTGCCAGCTTTGGCACTTGGCAGGAGTGCAATTGCAACTGTGTGGAAGACTTTGTTGGCTCTTTCTCTGACAAAAAAGATGCATCATAAATGAAGCCCTAGCTTGATATGCCGTTAGTTTTGCAGTTTCCCCTGTTGAGTTGAGAGGGCGAGACTTCTAAGATTGTGTTCCTTCCCAGGAGCTGTCTAGCTACTGTCTGCGTGGCCGCGAGGCGGTCTGAGGGGCGGGTGAGGGTGAACCCCATGATCCCAGTCCCATCGACGCCAGGCGGATACCTCCACAGGTCCAGTTCCTGCATCTGGTGCTGCAGCGTTGAATACCGAGGAGGCCGCGCTACCGCGAGCAACATGGTTTACCAACCCATCAAGGCATGGAAATCAGCGACTTGGGCCTAGGAGGCATCACCCATGGAGACCGTCCCGCCGCACTTGCTGCAGATCCGGGCCATGTGACATGGCTGAGGGGATGGGGGTGTCCCGAAACTTGATATTGTGGGACCAAAATTTACATGGCACGGGACCTCCGTTTTTAACTTGACCTTGGATGAGCGGAGTGAGCTTCCAAGACAGGGCCTGGCACAGGGGTGGCATCAGCTCAGCATGGACTGCAGCCAGGTACTCAACCAGGCCTACAAAGACAGAGGTTGGAGCTTCCTGCGGTGCTGCATCTGAGTCCGTACAACCAGGGCTGCATCCATCGCAACCCGTTCTGCATCCTATCCTTCAGATATCTCAACAGCCAGTCCCAGTGCGCTGTTTCTTTAAGCCAAATCTGGTGCCTGTCAGGTAGAGGGTGAAGAGTCAGTGCCACTAGGCCACGGCCCACTTTGTTGGCACGTTTGAGCGGTGGATTCTTGATTCAATCAACAAGGGAAGCAGAAAACCTATGGGGAAAGCGATTTTGGAGTCTCAACTTCCCAAACTCTGGGCTTTTCTGAAACCAATCTCAGACCAACACTTCTGAACATTGGAAGGTTGAAATCCAACTTGTATTCCAAATAGTTCCAAATCTTTTTCCTACTCACCCGCAGGTGAAAGTGCAACCACCCCTGTGAACGACATGGTGGGGCTGGGGAGGGCGACATGGGGCCTGCCTTGGGGCTGAATGCCTTGATGAAAAACCTGTCCAGTTGTCAGTGTTTTAGGTCAAAGTTATGGCAGATGCTATGTGGAAATTGAGGATCTGGGATAGGTTGGTTGAAGTAGCTTGAAAAAAATTGCTTTTCTGCCATGCTGTTGGTGCTGGATTGTAGCATAGACGTTGTAGATGGAACGGAGGCTCCCAGACACAGGAACCTACTAATGCAACGCTTGTTTTGAGTTTACGTTTACCAACTGCTTTATGAACTGGCGAGTTTGTCTTTAGATTTGAGAGATGGAGCGACTCCTGTGATGATCCAGCAGCTTTGTGTTCAAACCAAACTCCCAAACCTTTGTTGGTTGACGGGTATCATTGGAGCTCTTTGCTGAAACGGAGTATGTTTCTTCCATAAGATTCACCTTGGCGTTGCCCAATGGGCAGGCGATGACTGCTGCAGAGGACTGGGAACCCCAGAAGTCCCAGAAGCAGGTGCAAAACAGTTCTGAATTGAACTTGGGATGATTTGTGCTAGTCCGAAGTCCCCAAATGGTTGATGAGATTTGGGATGGCTTATTATTGTGGATTTCTTGTGCAGCTAGTCAAAGCTCTTGCAGCAACTGGACTGACAGGACCTGTTGCAGGGTCAACCCGATGAGGAGCTGGGGCCTGTGGGGAATGTTCGGAAGCATCCAGGATTCGAGGCAGATGCACATCCAGGACTGGCTGACTGGATCCAAGGTTCTTTTAAATGCTTATGGTTCCAAAAAATATGCAGAGCCCAGAATGTTGTTAGGAGAGTTGATGTGATTCAGCCTCAGTTGATTGGGTGAATATAGAATTTCGTATCCCATCCATCCCATCATAACTATGGAAAATCACCATTTTTAATGGGAAAATCCACTATTTCTATGGCCATCAAATCATCAAATCATCATGGTTCATGATGGTTTACCACGGTTCCATTGCCCCATTTTGAACGAACACCCAGGTGGGACGAGGAGGCGATGCTGAAGCGTGAGCTGGCGAAGCTCCACACCGGGGAGGTCAGCCTTTTGTTTTCGAGACGAGAGCTTCATCATGTTTTTGTTATCCAAAAAAGATGGAAACAAAAAACAAACATGGATCATGGAACACATTGGAACATCATGTTTTTTTCTTGGGAAGGTTTCATAAGCAATGAACTTTTCGTTCTGTTTTTGATCGGTTTCAGGCCCCAGTTTGTGACCCAAGGATGTTATCGCATTCTTCGCCAAGAATGGCTCGAACTCCTCGTGACAATCTGAGAATGTTCCGATTTTGTTGGGCAAGGCTCCATGTTTTTTTTGTCAAATCCTCATCTATGTTAATTTAATTTATGTTCATTACATTATTACATCCCATGTATGTCAATCACATCTCCCCATGTTTGTTGGTGAAGCGGCCTTTTGATATTGTTGTGTTTCAGAGGCACCAGCAAGCAGATCCGCATGGCCCTGAGGGTAAAATTTGTGTACTGTAAACGGAAAGAGCACGCCCGGATGCCTGAGCAATAGCCGTGTTGCTGGTTTCAGGAGAAGATTCATATGGCTATGGATCAATACCTATACATACCATTTTTAGGGGGATGAACATCCATTTACCAGCAATTTTGATGTTCACCAGGGGTACAAGGTTTTGACACACTGCCATATGAAACAATGAAACATTTGAATCCTCCTTTTATAGGGATCAAAGGGATCATCATGCGTCATGGAACAAAAAAGAGTCACCAGCGGCTAGTGTCACTTTCTTTTTATATAGTATAATATATATATATAGTATAATATAATAATACTCTTTATAATATAATTCTCTGTATATATAATATATAATAGAATACAATATATATATAGCATAATACTATATATATATATATTGTATAAAATACAATATAACACACTATAATCTACATTCCTCATCTGTGTCAAACATCTTTCGTCATCTGTGTAGGTGGATCCCACGGAGTTCAGACCTTACGACCTGGAGGTGATCTCCGAGCTCATGGAGGGCGTCAGGGGACCCAAGGGATCCAACTCCATCAAGGGTCAGCCCTGATTAATCTATGGTTAATAGTAGTAAAATCCATGGTTAATAGTAGTTAATGATGCTTAGTAATTAAGTTAATAATGGTTAACAATGGTTAACCATGGTTAATAATGATTCATGATAGTATATATATATATTGGTATCTAATGGATAATAGACCCATCCCCCTGCTAATGCAGCACTAAATCATGGTAGTTATGGGGGTATTTAAGATGAACGGGCGAATGGATTAACTGGCAACTGGCAACTGGATGTGTTTTCCGAAGAAATAGGGATCACATACCTATTGACCAAGCCCCATATTGTCAGCAAAAACAGTTTTTTTTCTTTTTCGGTGGATAGGGGGTTAATTGCTGATTCTTACCACTTAAAGGTGATGTCTGATGTCTCAGATGCTTTTTTTGCGGGAAACGGGTTCGGAGCTCTGGTGATGGTGTTGTTTGGGAAGGGTTTTTTGCAAAGAAAGGGACACTCTCAAGATGATCTATCCCTGAACCACTGCCCTGTGCGCTGAACATCGAACCAAGTCTACGGTATCCACGGCCGCAAAGCTTGGAGAGCACTTTACCATCTCCGCCACAGGGGTGGTCCATGTCTGGCGACCCAGTAGCCTGTGGGCCCTGTGGGCCCTGTGGGCCCTGTGGGCTGTGGGCAGGGGTGAAGTTTGTGCCGAAGCCATCCTGGCACCCCTTTGGAGCATCCCTGTGAGAGGTCTGTCCCGGCCAGCAGAGTGAGCACATGTCCTTGGGAGATTGGTTGGGATCCCCGAGGGACTGCTTGAGGACTGATGGTCTTATCTAGACAGACCTTGAAACAAATTGCATACTGTAAATAGGTAAGCCCAGGTAAGCAAGAGGTTTTGTACAGAAGACATCAGATAGGCGTATCGGCATACCCATCCATCTATGCGTAACACTAGAGTAAAACTAGATATGTTATTTGATCCCAAATATTTATCCAAATGGCCCTTGAGAGCTCTTGGACGGATTGCCCGGAAGGGAAGCAAGGGAAGAATGGCACTTTCTGCATGATGGTACCACTCACCACATGAATCCAGAAGTTGAGATGAGAGAATGTCCTTGATGTGGAAAGAGGATGAAGCTTCTATGACTCAGTCAGGGGGAGCAACCAGCTTTCTGTGCATCGCCCGCAGTGCGATTTCGGTTCAGATTTCATTTAACGTTTCTGCCGCAATTCAGCACGTATTTCCAGACGTGCCTTGGCTCGGGTTGGCAAATCCCATCCCATCCGTTCTTTTTTTACACCATGCCAAAAAGGTGGGGGGCTTACACATCAATAGGGGACCATAGAATGGGGGTGTTGAGTATTACAGGGATGAGATTATTATCAGTTATATACCAATATAGTTATGTATATCTATATATATCTAGACCATTATTAACCATCAGTTAACCATCAGTAGCAATTATTAATCATCAACAATAGATTTTCAACCACTATTGTTACCACTGTCACCACTATTAGTAGCAATCATCACCACTATTCACCACTGTTAACCCTAGATTTTCCAATGGGTCTTCGTAACCGTGGGGCCCCACAGAAGCCGTAAGAGCACAGCGCAGGTCATGGACCCGGCCGTGCCGAAGCTGAGTGTCCCAGCACGTCGCTGCAAGGATGGGCCGGGGTTGTTTTTAGTTTAATGGATACAGTATATATATAGATAGATATATGTATATAGGATATTATAGATATGATACCGGATATATGAACTATGAATGAACTATGATATTGTGTATATTTTTTTGTATTTGTACATATACTACACACATATGATATGGTAAGAAATGTGAAGTCTTGAGGACATGACCAGCTGCTAGGAGTTGAAGGGCTCGGAAAGTGACACGCGAGAGCCTGACAGCCACTGGATTGATGGTTTGGGCTGCGCTGGTGCGACGTGGTCCATGTCCCCGAAGAAATGGGGTTATATACATGTTGGGCTCTGAGGTCATTTTCAGGAGGAAACAGAAGCAGAAACCATGCCCTTCAAACAGAAGCGACCCATGACTGAAATGTTTTTCCATGATTTGATAAGGCTTTCATCATGAACAGAAGTGACTGCTTCTTGTATGGCGCAATCGTTATAAAAGGATCGGTTCAACAATCGTGGGACGGGTGCAACCAACAAACACGAGAGTTTCACAAACCGATGCCTTTGTTAGGGTTGCCATTTCGGCGGGGGGATCTTGCTGATATTCAGGGGCTTCCCTGAGAACAACCAAAGTGACCCACACTTTATGTGCGTGGAAATCTGATGGGAACACTCAAAAAGGTTGGCGATTCCCCAACAATATTTTGAGAAATTCTAACACCTCGGTCAGTCTTTAGAATGCCTCGCAAAATCCAATCGGGACAATGCACCACGTGCTAGGAGTTCTTTCAGCTTGTCGCCAGAAATCACCATCAGACTGTAGCCTGCCCTGGGCTGTGAATAATTGGGGGGTATCATTTTAGTAGCAGATGAGTTTTCAAAAATACCCTGAGGTGACAAAATGATACCCTAAATATATATATATATATCATTTTAGATACTGCCTAATCGATTTTTCACTTTGTCCACTCCGAAACAATGACCCTGAGGTGACCGGCTATCGCAGCCCAGTGTGGATTCGCAACCAGGTGGGGGAGCAGATTGGCGATCCGTGGATGGCCCAGTTGCCATAAGTTCCCATAGGATTTTGGCCAAAGGCTTGGTCCGTAAGGTTGGAGGATTATATTTAATGGGAGCCGGAAAAATTATGTCCCAGTAAATACTTCGATTTTCCCGATTCGGAAGTGGCAAGTTCCAATTCGCAAAGCATCTGCCGTCCGCAGGATTGCAAAAACTGGACGAAGAGGCAGCCGTCTCCTTTGATTGCGTCCCAGTCAGCAAGTTGTCAACGTATAAAGAAATTAATAAATCAAGAGATAGAACATCCCTCTGAAACTTGAACAAAGCATGGTTCCTGCTAGGGTAAGAATATATATATACACACCTTTGTACAAATCGGATTCCTGAGTCCCATTCACATCATTCACGTTTCGCCCGGGGAGGCGCCCGTCGAACCCATTGCAGTGGATGAAAGTCGGCTGATCGACTTGTGTCCAGCTGAGCAGAAGCGACGCGGCAACGAGCTCCTCTCACTCCTCTCCGAGCCTTGGGTTGGCAAGGGGTTGGATGGCAAAGGGGGTGAAGCAAAGAGGGAGTTAGATAACTTATATATACAATTATATACATGTATATCTATGTTATACATATATATATATATATACATAAGTTACATAAGTTACCAAGGGATGTTTCGGTTAAGCAAGATGGGTGAAGTTTATCCATCGAGTCCCTGGCTGTAGCAGTTAGGAATCATGGAAAACACAACAGAAATCATGGGATGATTAGTGATTTGGTTGGGAATGAACAAACAATCATGGAGGATCTGACCAATTAAGACAGGTGAACAAATGGGGGAGTGTCAATACCTTTGGAAAAACATGCGGTATGAAGCAACAACAGTGAGGATATTGACCAAGTGATGTTTTTTTTTTTTTAATGCACCTATGCATGCACGAATACAAATGATGATGGGCATAGTAAGCAACAATGATGGTGGTATTTCTTTAACAATGATGGAAGCTAGCTATATGGAGATGGGTCAAGACCAACAACACTGGGGTTTAATCCACTTGACCAACAAACGTGGGGGTATTTCATCAATAATGATGAGAATGTCTCATCTTGTTTTCCTATATGAATGGAGGGGGATGCACATTCAGCGACATCCAACAACTGTAAGAGTTCCAACCGCATCCAAGGAAGGCGACAAGGCGCGGTGGGTGACATGCTTTGACAGCAATCACTGCAATCTTGAAATGCACAAAATTCCACAGGCTGCAGAGATTGCTTCATCCAACTCAATGAACAACCGGAATGCAGGAACCACTTCCACCAATTGCCCTTGCGAGGCACCGTGCCTGCCAAATCTTCCGCCAGCACCTGATTTTTTAAGGCGGGAGAGCTGATTTCATGATTTTCATAGTTTATCTTCGATGGAAAGATCCTGGACTTTCGCTCCAGCAAGAAAATCTGAGTCTGCAGCGTGCGCAGGAAGAGTGAGGGCATCTATGAGGCACTGATGCATTGTTGCTTTTGATGATGCTTGAATTGCCCTTGTTTCCCATAGACGAAAGCCTACAACTAGCACCTGGCTGGGCAAGGTCGAAAAGCACAAATAGACAAGACCAATTGCAGGGGATGGGTATCAAAAAAAAAATATTAGGATCAGAAATAAATTATGATTAGGATCAAACAAATATTCTTTGAACCAATATAAAGAAAGCAAGCAAGCAAGCAAGCAAAGAAAGAAAGAAGGAAAGAAAGACAGAAAGACAGAAAGAAAGACAGAAAGAAAGAAAGAACGAAAGAAAGAAAGAAAGAAGGAAAGAAAGAAAGAACCCCCCTCATCCCGCTTATTTATTGTAATCAAGATTGCATATTTTCTTCACCCTACATTCTGTGTGCTTCCAAAATGCACAACGTTTGCAACCTCAGTACCATGGTGGGTACCTTTTTAACCTCTGGCAGTACGCGGGAGAACAGGTAACTAGTATTGCTGCCTGGATATTGAATGACCATTCCACTGCTCTCCTGCAACTGCTACTACTACTACTGCTGCTGCTGCTGCTGCTGCTGCTGCTCATGTAAAATGTTCCAAGAACGATGGAAAATGAGAGGTGCAAATTCCAAAATGCTGCATATACCGTACCGTTGAAATGGTAGCTTCCAGTGCCAAAATGTTGCACACGGCAAAGAAAACGGATAGGACAAACAACTTTCCTTAGTGGCCCTCCCCCCTTGCTATCCTTCTTCACCGCCACCACCACCACCACCACCACCACGTCTACTACTACTACTACTGCTACTACTGCTACTACTGCTACTACTGCTACTAGTACTGCTACTAGTACTGCTGCTGCTGCTACTACTACTACTGCTACTACTACTGCTACTACTGCTACTACTACTACTACTATTACTACTACTACTGCTACTACTGCTACTACTGCTACTACTGCTACTACTGCTACCACTGCTACTGCTACTACTGCTACTGCTACTGCTACTGCTACCACTACCACTACCGCTACCGCTACCGCTACCACTACCGCTGCCGCTACCACTACCATTACCAGTACCAGTACCACTACCATTACCACTGCCACTGCCACTGCCACTCCCACTACCACCACCACGACGACTACTACTACTGCTGCTGCTACTACTACTACTGCTACTACTACTACTACTGCTACTACTACTATTACTACTACTACTACTACAACTACAACTACAACTACAACTAGAACTGCAACTGCAACTACAACTACAACTACAACTATAACTACAACTACAACTACAACTACTATGACACAGATAGATAGATGGATTGGTCGATGGATACATCCAACAGTTGTGGGTGAGGAAACCACTGCAACCACCTTTCGGTCCATCAGTGGATTCGCTCTGCCATCCGTCATTCACAACAACCAACCTCTCCTATAGGCTGCCTATTTTTGAAACTTCCGCCACCGCCTTGTGCCGTACTACTGGTACTACCACTGCTACCACGATATTTTTTTGATCCTAACAATACATTTTTTGATCTCCTACCCCAATATTGCAGCGCCCTCAAAGTCCGAAACTGTAAAAGAGAACCTTGGCGATTAATGGCTAACTTAGAAAATGTCAGAAGTCGGGTAAATCGCCTGGGGATCTGCTCACCAGGGTTGCTCACCATCCATATTTTACCGCAGGGCACTGTTTCAGCAGCCTCGTGGGACAAGAAAGAAGTGTCTTGGCAGCTGGAGTGGCAGATAGGACTTGCCCACCTGTTCTGATGGCCCTTCGTCATCCTGTGGGGTTGGCAACTGGTAGGGGATAATGCAACTGTGATCTGGGCTAGATCCCTATATGACCTGTTTTGCTGCAGAGCCAGGACAATCCGAGCTATACATTCTTTCCCATGTGTAGGGCAAACAGCAAAATCTTGTGACCTGTCGCTATTGGGTGCTTGACCATCTGCCCTCGCCTGGGGGCTTAACTCTGATGGGGTCAGTTGTGACTGGGACACTAAGGATTGGCATACTGGTTATGTGGCGGGTGATCTCCGTCTCTCGGGACAAACAGTGGGTGATACGGTGCAAGCGGCCAGATGTGCGGCTTGTATCACCTGAAAATGGGATGGTTTGGGGCTCCAAATCTTTGTGGTACTAAGTCATCCATCTGCATCTACAGCCTTATTCTTGATCTTTTTATGTTTGAATAAAGAATAAAATCTGTTCCACAAAAGAAACCCTTTGTCATCGTCATCGGCACTGTCCTTGGCATCATGATCATGATCCCAGGATTTTTATACTGGTCCGAATCATCATAATCTTTTGGATAGTCAAACCATCACCACCTGACCACCAAGATCATTATCATGATCAGATCGATTGTGTTCATTTTGTTTTTTATATTCAAATTCATGATGATGCCTTCCTCATAGTGTAGGAACCATAGGGGTCTGCTCAGGCTACATCCCCGCAGAGCAGTCTACGACTTACCAGCAGTGGGACATGACGTGCCTTGGCGGCTGGTGTGCATACTGGGATAGAGTATGAACTAGGACCATCCACAATAAGAAATTCATCGACATGTGGAATAGTCTATTTGGCTTTGTCTGAAAATAGGATATCCCAGAAGCCATTGTTTCACTGTCATTTCCCCTTTTTTCAGATTCAGAATGGGGGTTGCGCCATTTCAGATGCACTCATTGTATCTGTGTGGAAATCTTATTTGAGCCACCAGTATCTTTTGGGAGGACGGGTTTTGATCAGGGCCCCATGTGCTTCAACAGCCCTTGGTTCAAGGAAGCCATGAGCGCTCTTGTCAATTTTTCCAGGTGATGAAATCAAACAGTCGTGAATTGATTTTGCCAGATTTCTTCCTGGTGTTTGCTGTTTTGCGAAGACGCTCAGGTCGCAATCCAATTGGGACAAATCACAGATGGTTCATGTCCCGCCACAGTGGTCAGGCAACTTGGAGGAACGGCACGTGGGTATGGTTGGGGCTGCATCATTTTCTGCTAGATTGCTGGATTCTTGGGGATTCTTAGGGGGCTCTTAGGGATTCTTGTGAACCAACTTGTAAGAGGCAGATCTATTTGCTGGGCTTCAAACATTTGAGCCCTGGTGAAAAGACGAGTTTTCAACTCACCATGTGTCAACTGAAAAGGTCTCCGTGGAGATTGCTTGACCCCAAAAGGCTCCGTGATGGATGGGTTCTGCTTTTGGATTGACCACAAGTAGGTAAGCCAAAGAGCAGTTTGCACCAAAATCATCAGAGGATCCAGAATCTGCTATGCAACAGAGTTACTGATATTAGTTGGGAACACTCTTGAAACCGCATGATGTTGCCTTTTTGAACAGTCGTTGGGAGGAAACCAGTGGAATCTTGTGGCACCACCATGCCTCCCAAGGCAGTGGCTACATGATGGATGCGGAAAGTGGCCTGGATCACGAATCTCACACAGGGCACTGTCTTTGCATATCTGTTTTTCATGTTGGTAAAGCAACTGAAGCTGCCAATATTGTTATTATTATATTATATAATTATATAATTATATAATTATATTATTATTATGATTACATAATAATAATAATAATAATAATAATATATATATGCATATATACATATATAACTATATATATAATCATATACATAATAATCACAATAACAACATAATAATAACAACAACAACATAATAATGACAATAACAATAATAATAGTAATAGGCACATACACGTATATACATACATATGTATATATATATATGTTTACACACACACATATATATATACAAACAAACAATATTTTCTGTATGTACTGTGTACAGTACACATTTAAAATGTTTCCAGATCCATTACTTCATTCAGACCGCTGCTGTTTTGTTTGGTGTTCCAGGAAGGCTGTTGAACATCCCACCGAGTCGCAGATGATCATACCCGAAATAGCCAGTTATATCCCAGGTATAACCCATAGCTTACTTCAAGAAAAATCAGTGATCCCAGGTACTATCAGTATAGACCAGTTATATCCCAAACAGTTTTTTCCCAACGGATTTCACCAGTTGCCTAGGTCTGAACCGGGAGATGGTCCCCTACCTGCTGAACGCGTCCCATCGCGCCTTCGGGCCCGGCCTCACGGCCAATGTGCAGTGCTTGCCGGACGGGTATGAGGCGCGGCCGGGGCCTGATCGGCGTCACCATGGCTTTCACTACGAAAATGCTCTGGGAAAATGGTTTCGCAAGGGTCTCCTGATATTTCTTTGAGGTCTTGATCTTTCAGAGCGGGCGAGATGTGTAACCGGAGCTGAGAACTTTTGTTTGGATTCGTTCATATCGGTTCTGCGCAGATTCCTATGCCTACTTTGGTTGATGGAACTCTAGTTTACCAAGTGGCCCATGATGTGAGAGCAGGTGGCTTGATTAGGCTCACGATAGCCACTGCATCACTAATTTATTTGAGAGCTTTGATAGGAAAATAAAATAAATAAATATATATATATAGATATATCTTCAAGAAATGGCCATGTTCATGGGAAACCAATGGATGGAATGGGATGTTCAGATACCCTTCCTGGACAAACCTGCCCGACTTTAGTCACTTTCGTCATTCTGGACACTCCAATGGGTCTCACAAGTGGCACCGGACTGGACCGATGGATTTTTGTCCTTGAAATTTTTCAGTCTTCCCAGGTGGTGTTGCAGGGAGCTGCAGCTCATGAAGTGGAACAGGGCAGAGAATACGATATTTTGCAGGCGCCGTTGAGGGAGATCGAGGATCTTGTAAGGTGAACACAACCAGAAAACTGGGTGCTTTTGCGAGTCACATCTCATGGTTTATCATTTCCTAGCCTGTCTGAGACCCCTAGTGTGGTATCAAACCCTTGCAAAACTATACCCAACTATTAACATTATATATATATATACACTTATTACACATAATTATATATTAACTATATATATATACACATACAAATACATCTTGTAGATTTAACAATGCCCTCGTACCATAGTGGGGTCGCCCGCTCGCTCCGCTTCGCAGAACCTTGGACATCATCTCATGCAGGTGGTGGGCGATGGGTAACTCGACTGGCGAAATGATGGGAAGATGGGCATTGAACAAAAATCCCAAGGGTAAGTTGTGTTTTAGTGGGAGAAAACTCTATAAATGGGGGATTCACTGGGAAGCTCATCCTATATATATAGGAGGTTTTAATGGGAATGATTGCGTGTGACAGTTTTCATAGTAACTTTTAGCATCTTGTAGCGTGTTTCACATGACCGTTTACTTATGGCTCAAGCCTGTGCAGAAAAGGTGTGACCGCAGTGTTTGAACTGCCTAAAACATGGTAGCGGAGCTGCTGATGTGAAAGAACTGTGTGGATGTGCCCGCGTTGTCTGTGCCGCAGAAGGAACAAAGCGACGCCTGCTGAGAGCCGTTGGGCAAAGGCGGAGAAGGTCGAGCAGCGACCACCACTGCCACAGCGACGTCAAGCAGTTCGTCTTCAAAGGCGACCACCCCTGCGAATCCGCCACTTATGGCCGGACTTGGAGGGCTGACGTTCGATGTGGAAAACATGAGCAACGGAGATGCCGCTGCCTTGGAGACTTTCTTGCGGGCGGGGCTTGCTGCACTGCACGGCCAGTATCACCACCACCGATGGCTAAACCGGGGGCCAGCTCGGACGCTTCGTCCGCGGCGCGGCCAAAGGTTGACGCCAAGGCTCGAGGGAGCATCAGGCCCCCTGAGCCCAAAGGACCACCACCAAAGCGCCCACAAGGAAGCAATCGACCTGCAGGAACCCAAGAGACCACCACCAAAGACGGTTAGCCCAAAACCAAAGCCGAAAGCAAAGGCAGAACCCCAAACACTCCGAGTGACGACCATGTTCAAGACCAAGAGTGAGTGGAAAGAAATGCGACACCGCAACGGAGTTGCGCATGTACGCAGGATGATGCCACGAGGCAGTGTGGGACAGCAAATTGTTGGCAAACAAGGACCAACGTGTTCAACTTGCACCGTAAGACGCAGGATCAGCACGAAGGCTGCACAAGCCTATGCCGCATCCAAGAGGCAACGGCACGACTTGCAACAGCCTAAATCGAATTCGGGCCAAAAAAAAACTGTCCTGAAAGGACCTGGTGAGAGAAAGGAGTCGCGGGTAGTGAAGGCAAAAGCGCTGGCAAAGGAGGCTACAACAGATGACGCCGAGGCAAGTGACGGCGGAGAGTCTGTGGAACCTGAAGCATCTGAAAGCGACAGAGAAGTTGAAGTTGAAAGAAAAGAAGAGCCTGACGTTGAGGAAGTCAAGGCACATGAAGATGTTGCCACAGAGGAGTACGAGGACGTCATTGAGGAAGCCGCTGAAGAGGAAGCAGCTGAGAGTTCCAAGGGACAAGGAAAAGGGCATGTAGCATCAACCGGAAGTCGGACGGGTGCTTCCCCTGTCGGGACTACGGGCGATGTTGGGACGACAGTGAGTTCGTCGTCAGCCATGCACAACCTGTTGGTCAAATCGCTCAGCTCGATACTGGATGGTGCAATGCCAGAAGCTGGCCAAGTAGGCGGACCGGATCCGCACGAAGAAGCCAACTTCGAGGAACATCATCACAATGTTTTACCAAGCGCAAAAGAGCTGTATGTGAAGGAACCAGTGATCGACGCCAACACAGGTGTCGAGCTTGACCCAAAGAAAGTCGCGGCCGCTCGGGCGACAAAGATAGCCTGGGTGCAACGACAAAAGGTGTATGAAAAGGTCGACGAGTCGACTTGCTATGAAGAAACGGGAAAACCACCGATAACGCTGAAACGGATTGATCGCAATAAGGGCGACCAAGAAAACGAAAACTATCGCTCACGTCTTGTAGTGAGGGAACTGAAATCTCAAGGACAGGCAGCACTGATCCCTGAGTACGCACTGTTCTCATCAATGCCACCTTTACAGGCGCTTAAGCTGATGTGTTCGTTATTAGTCACGTGGCGCGCTTCGCGCAATGGCGGCGCAATGGCGCTGAAGCTTACAGACATCTCACGTCTCACGCGCGCATTTCTGCGGAGTTTCATCCCGCAGAATCTTCGTAACACTACCAGAAGGAGACGAAGAGGAAGGAAAGTGTGGACTGCTATTCCGCACTATGTACGGAACACGCGATGCATCTTCGACATGACAGAAGGACTATACGTCCCTGCTACAGCAAAACGGGCTTTCTACAGGAAAGGCATGGATCTGTATCTTCACCCACGTGGAGAAGGATATCCGTGTGTTGGCACACGGAGATGACTTTCTTGTCCCTAGCGACGAGGAAGGCCACGAGTTCGTTGACCAAGTTCTAAAGTCAAGATACGAGTTCAAATGCGATGGACACATTGGACCGGAACAGAGGAAGCAAACCATGTCCGTTCTGAATTGCTTGTTGACTTATCATCCCGAAACGGGAATGATCAGCTATGAAGCTGACCCAAGACACTAAGAGGCACTTCTGAGAGAACTGAGCTTGGAGAAAGCAAAGCCTGCAAAGACACCTGCTGAGAAGAAGAAACACGGAGAAGCCATGAAGACGCTGGAATTGCCACCGTCGGATGAAGGAATGCAGCGTCAACACAGATCCCTTACAGTGAGAGCCGCTTTCTTGGCACAAGACAGACCTGATATCGCAGAAGCGACCAAGTCGTTGGCAAGACACATGAAGGCACCGCGCGAGAGTGCGTTCAATGACTTGAAAGGATTAGGTCGTTATCTGAGAGGCGACCGCGGCTTGTTTGCGAATATTGGCCACAGCGATTCCAGAAGGAACTGACTGTGTTCTGTGATTCTGACCAAGCGGGATGTATTATCACGCGGAGGTCAACTGCAGGCCTAGTAACTATGTGGGACGACACTGTATCCAGGATTCAAGCAACATCCAATCCACAATTTCGCTTTCAAGGGGCGAAAGTGAATACTAGGCGATCGTGAAGGCCGCTGCAACAGGGTTGTGGATACAAGCCCTACTACCTGATTGGAACCTCGAAACAAAGCTGAAGGTCAAGTCAGATTCTTCAGCAGCAAGCGGAATCACACCGCCTGGCCTAAGAGGGGTGATTGCGTGTGACAGTTTTCATAGTAACTTGTAGCATCTTGTAACATGTTTCACATGACCGTTTACTTATGGCTCAAACCTGTGCAGAAAAGGTTTGACCGCAGTGTTTGAACTGCCTAAAACCCTGTCCAGAGAAAATACCCTAGAAAGGGAGGTTTCTAGCTGGGAAAATCACCTATGCTGGGGGGATTTTCCCAACAAACCATGCTTGATCACAGGAGGGTAAATTGCATACCAACCATTTGATGGGAATACCTTATTGGATATACATATGTATATATATATATATGTGTGTATATACATATACCACCCATTCATGGTGATTTTGGAGATTTTTCTGGCATTGTTTTAGCCACATGATAGATATAGACACCAAAAAATTGGATGATGATGATGATGATGATGATGTGATCATTTTCAGCGGTAGCTGCAGCTGGAGCGAAGGTATGTGGGCTGCGAAATCACCCGAAACTATGACGCCGTGAGTCATCGGATCAGCCTGTGGCGTTCCTGTGAGGCGACCGTTGCCATGGTGTGAGCACAAATGGTGTGTGAAACACAACGATGTTGGATGAATATCTGATGTTTTTGTTGATCCTTGGTTTTTTTTCTTGGATTTTTTGGTGTCTGAAAGAATTGGGGACTTGATGATAATTATAGTATAATCCAATGTTGGATGATACTTGAGGAGACTTGTACCAGTCAGAATTTGATGCTGATGCCTGGCAGGGTGAAGCCGCCGATTCGCGAAGGTGCTGGAACTTTGCGAGGTGCACTGAGTGCACTGGGGCATTTCTGGAGACAGCAAAGATATGGGAGATTTCAGCAGCCAAAATTGGTGTTCCAAACGGTTTTTTGGAAGAAATTAACTAAATCTAAGTTGGGGCAAAAAAAAATTCTCGGATCATCAATGTCCAAGGTTTTTGGTTTGTTTTTTTGGGCAACTTCAAGACTCAACCACAAAATCCAGAAAACACCATGGATTTCAGGAGTGGAAACCCAATTTGCAGAGTTTGGCATTTGGAAGATCAACCCAAAAACTTGGATGATGTGAGGCCCTGAAAATCTGAAAACAATACGCCATTTGCAGATCAACTGATACCTCAAAGCTGTCGATACTTTGTAGCTCCTCACCAAACATCATCCATCCTCCGGATACTTGGAGACCTACTGGTGACCACCACAAGTGATACCCCTCGACGAGTTGTATGCGGATGAGTCTGTGGCAGTTTTCATCAGAAAAAATGATGATTCACCATCAAATTCACCAACATCTTCAGGCAAACCCATGGAAATCGGGAAGGTGTTCCCCCGGTTATGTTCGTTGGTTTCTAAGCCCTATGGACTAGTGAACTAGTTCGACATATTAATGTACCCTCAAGGTTTCCCTCGTGAATCCCAGCAGCGGTGCAGAAACAACAGCTGTGCTCGCGGAGACCAATGCCGCTGGGCCCATGAGCATCCCCAAACGATGGAGATCGCAGTGAAGGCGACCAGTTGACCCTGGGTGAAATGAAGGTCTGCTTTGGATGGTTGCGAAATCCGATAAACCACCAAAAGGATGGTTGAAAGAGTTTGAAAGCTCATCAATGGGATGTTTACCACCTATCAACTCGCGAAGGATTTCGCAACCATCCACAGTATGTTATACCCTTGATGTATAGCAGCCTTGTAGCTCCCCGGGTCCTCAACTGGGACCTGCAAGACATACTTTGTCTGAAAATGGGGACCCGGAAAGTAGCTGTTGAATGGGAACATGACGATAAAATACCCGTATAAACCCTGGTATTTTGAGATCTGCCATTTTCGGAGAAACACATTTGTCTATTTGTCTCGATGGGAATCCTTCTTTTTCTGTTGAGATTCTTGCGCATGCAAGACATACCTAGCCAACCTTGTCAGAACTCAAAGAGAAGCCAGAAAGGCCTAGGGATGGGTCCAAATTGGACCTCAAAACGACCAGCCAATCTAGGGTATTGAGATTTTCATCCACAGCAAGATGAGATCTTTGAACGGACATCCCGACATTTCACTCAAAACCTACGCTCCCCAGAAATGATTAGCCTTTTTCAAGGGCTACTAAGTAGCCCCATCATGGGCTCACAAATAGATTAATTCAGTGTAACATGAATAGTTTTTTGGGGACTGGATACTTTTAATTCCATGCTGCATGCCTCCGAACCGGCTCCTCGGCAGGTCGCTTCTGTGCGTTGCAAGTGAAGCGATGCGGCAAGTGACAGCCAATCCTCATAGACAAGGGTTGTCACTGCGACCGGCGCCACGGACATGTGGGCCCAATCACAGACATGGCATGGACGGGCCAAGGTAATAAATACCACAGCAAACCTTGCACCAACAGAGTTAGAATGGGCTGGACCAACAAATGCTATGGTTCAGGATGTAAAACTTTGGGACCTGGAATGTTTGCTCAGCTATAGACATAGTTCAACAATCACATTTTGGCAGGCTTTGATCAGGTCTTTAGTTTTTTTCAATGAGAGAGTTCACCCTGACCATCTGGGAAGATGTTCCATGTGGGTTTGTCCAAAAAACCCTCAATTTCAATGAATTCTCATCATTCTTTCTCATGAAAACGACAATTTTTTGCAGCAGAAGCACCCATTCATAGTGTCATCTGTCAGGAAGAAGCTGGCCTTGCATCTATGGCCTTGAAACAATCAGTGATTTCTAGAATTCCGTTCCGGCCTCAAGGCCTTATTGAACCACACACCATCCACTGATCCAGTCCCGATCCGATCGGTGCCATGTCATTCCTCCGGCGCGACGCGTACCGGAACGTGCCGCGCGACGCTGGAGCCAGTGTTGGACATTGACATAGATATATCAAGCAGCAAAGGTTACCGTCTGGTTATGTCAAAATAGCTATTGAAAATGGCCATAGAAATAGTGGATTTACCCATTGAAGATGGTGATTTTCCATAGTTATGTGACAGTTTACCAGAGGGTATGAGAACGCCCAGCAGACCCCTTTTTGTTTTTTGGTGGGGTGGGGGTTGTACTAGCAGGTTTCAGTGAGATTGGAAAAAAGCCAGGAATCTCAGGTTCCACCAGTCGCCAGGAATTTCTTCGGAAAGGGGACATCTCCACTTTGGTTGATCCGCCCATGGAATATGTGATAAGTGAGAAGAGGACCAGGAACGCATTTCGTGTAAGACAGTGTAAGATGTAGATTGTTAATTAGTCAACGACATATGCATGATACGCAAAATGATATATTATTATGCATATTATATGCAGAGACATATACATAGACGTCTCTGACCTTGATTCGATGCAGCCAAGCCCCGGAAATTATCCAACGGGCTCAGCTCTATGCGGCTGGCTTCGAGGGCTGCTAATGCGTAACGGCCAGGATGTTTGTCTTTATGTTCGGTTGATTCCCAGCATTGTGGTAGAACTCAGTTTCTTGTTGCAGATATTTCAACCTCGTTTTCTAAGATAGGAGTCCAACAGTTTTTTTTTTTAAAAAATAGGAGGATTTTCCAGTTGGAGTCAGTTTTTGTTTGTTACGATGATTCCATCATGCAAATGACCCTGACCCGAGGTGCTTGCATCTTTCAGCTGGCGGGTTATCCTACTTGCTCTGAACTGTTTTATGACTAGGATGCTCATGCAACAGCTCAAAGAACTTGTTTCAGCCTCTGTGAGTTTTCATTCAGGAACGGCTCAAGATCACGCACCCGTTAAAAGATATGATATATTCTTATATAAAACGATATCGTCAAGTTAAACACATGTTTTCTGGGTCCAAAATGGCAGACCTCATTTGGATCAGAAAGGCCGTTGCAATAGCTGCTCGAAAAGCTGCCAGACCCCGCGGAAATACGCGGCTGAAAACCGACGGCCGCCGCCGCAGCACCCGCGCTAAAACCGTTGTTCCCAAGCGCGTCCGGAATGCTGCACGAGTAAATGACACCATGAACAGAATCTTGTCTGGGGTGATTGGTCAGAGTTTCTTGAAGTTATAAACACCTCGCTCCTCTTGTGCTTGTTGCTTCACACCCTGAGACTGCCGACAGACCGATTTGACCGGCACGTGGATTCAACTTTAGCGTTTTACCAGGATTTATCTCAAAACCTAACAAGAAGGGATGGACATGTATTGGTTGATCGGATTGAAACAACCAGTTGTGCGGATGCCAACACTGGAACCATGTCGATTTATGCACACAGGTCAGCCTGTTGGTGACCCTACCAAGACATTGTTGGGTTTCTCTCCCATATTCTTATCCCAGATTTGGTTGAGGGAGCAAAAATCAGCAAGAAGCCGTAGTTGATAATGATAATCTGGAGATAATGGAAAATCCCTTTTTGCCATAACAAATCACAGATAATGATAATGGACAACATGATTTTTTGGCCATACGTCTGTGGAGAATCCGTCCATTGATGCCACTTTGCTGGTCAGGATCCGCCAGCCTGCTGCCACAGCGACCGACAGAAAAAAGTCACATGAACGGCCTCGACAGGGGCAAGGGGACTCTGGCCGCTCGGATTCTGACCATGTTGTGTTTAAAAGGCCCCCAATCAATAGAGCCTTAGAAAATCTTAGAAATGCGGACTTTCACTATGAACAAAATTATCTTAGTTAACTATTGAAACTATGTTTTTTCTCCAACGCGGCCACCAAGCTAAGAAACTGGGCGAAGACAGAGTAGGCGAACACCATTTAATTTGAATGCAAGTATCACTCAATCAGATGAACTCATGTAATACTGTAGTGGCAGCACAAAATCATGCGGATTATTTTTTCGCCGCAAATTTGGAGGCACACCCCATCAAGAAAGCGAAGATATGATCCGGGAAATGGAAGGAACGAGAAATGTGCAGGAACGCAGCATGGCAAAAACCAAAACTCATCAAATGCGTAGATCTTAGGGCATTGACGGACAGCTGGTGGGATTGGAACAATCTCATGGCAGCTCGCCTGAACCTTTGGACAAGCACTTCTAAAGTCATGGAATTAGCACTATTTTGAATCTAAAGAGTTAGCACCAGCCCCTCTCTGAAAACTTTTTTTGACCCCAAACTGGCCATTTGATGCCTGGTGCCCCCCTATGTGAAATTTCTGCCTTCAAAGGCCCAATCCAGGAGTTTCTCACATCTTCCCCAAAAACATTGCAATTTTTGGGAAATATTCCGTTTTTCATCTTGAGATGGTGATTTTCGATCCAACAGAGGCCGCAGAGTCCCGAAAGACACGGGTGCGGAGTGTAACATGGGCGACCACCGCGGGGTCGCCGTGGATGTAGTGACCAGTCACGTCGTTGGGCCCAGCCCTGCGCTCAAGTCTCACCGCTCCAAAAATGGTCAGCTTCTGCTGCCAGGTGGGTCAATGGGATGGTGAGTTCTTAACTAAATCACCAGAGGCAAGCTGAAACATGGGCCTGGAATCCACAGATTTTTTCTTCCCCAAGTCTTTTGTAGATGAGTTGCAGTTCCAATCTTGTGTAAGATTTTTGGTGGAGCCACAGTCTACTTGTTCAGTGGACCTGCTGTTGGGGCTTTCGAGTCTTGTTGCTTATCACTTCATCATCTCCTGTCTAACTACCTTACATGCTGTACCTACACCTTTGATGGGCTGGTGATTTGGATTTAGGAACATCACCATTTTCAAGAGATGGGTGAATCTGCATGAACCCAACCATCGGTTTCCCCAACTCTTGTAGATCATATTGAGGGGCATTTTTTTTGGTGTCAACCGTGGGACAAACCTACACATAAATATAACAATATGTATATATTGTTACTATTATTATTATTGTTATCATTATTATTATAATTATAATTATATTATTATATGTACACATACATCCATACAGTAGTTGGTGAATCGTTTGAATACGTTTAGCCCACCAGGCCAGTCCCAATTTGCCTAGGATGCACCAGTGCCTGATGTACAACGTGTTGACCTCCATGAATTTCTTCAAGTACTACATTCATGGCAAGGCGAGGGATGGGCCATCCTTAGGGATGGATCAAAACCTAGCAGTTAACAGCATCATTTTTTGGTGGGCCTATAAATATCCTAGGAATCCTAGGAATGTTTTGGCGTTCAGGGGATTCTATGGCTTTTGACTCCCCACTTGAATCCTTGTTCCTGAGCCCATTGTGTCGAAGCAGGTTTTTGGCCGATGGAAGCAACACAGTCGCTTCACCACGTATTGCCATGCACGCAAGCTCTTGGTGAGGCCTGGGAGTAGCAGAGATTTTGATCTCCAAACTCAGGGATTCCGCCATAAAATTCTTGTTGAAATGGGGAGAATGCTAAGGGGCTACCTTATTTTTGACCAGTTTCTGGCGAAAAAGGTAAGCAGGGTTGCTTTCGGAAGCAAACTAACAGGAGCGGCTGAAGACCGGACTGGGATCAATTGGGGCTCCAACTTGGTGCTTCGACAGAACTTGAATGTGTCTGGGGATAGCCAATTTATGGCATTTATATATATATATATTATATATATATTATATATATATTATATATATATTATATATATATTATATATTATATATAATATATATAATATATATATATATTATATTATATGCAACACTGAGATTTCAGACCAAACATTTTGTTTGTATTTTTTCCCCCTAGAATTTCCGCTACCCCAAACCACTTTGGGACCCAACATCGATCCAATACCTTGGCCGAGGCGACTGTTTCTGTCGAAGCCGCTCTTTGTGAATCCACTGGTGAAGATCCAGTCCCTGATGCACGAGGCGATCTGGGCCTCGAAATTGGATGATTTGGATGATTTGGATGGGGGAAGCCGCGGTTTTGCCCATGGGAGAAGTGGCTTTTCCACCATGAAATTGGGTCTGGTTTGGCATTGGGTTCACTGTTTTTGCCTGTATGTTTGTGTCAAGAGTGTTGTCGTGGGTTCCCAGTTTCAGACAGCTGGCAGTTGGGCCGGCCAGTTGGGCATAGGTGTAATATGGTTTGGTTTTACGACCCCACACCAGAAGTACTGAAACATTTTGCTTGTATTAACTTATTCCTCACTTTCATTTGTATTGACTACTGCATCGATTTGTTTTTTGGGCGCCAAAGGCTTGTCAACTTGACCAACACTCGATTGAATTAGTTTCAGTTGGTGAGAGTCTCATGTCGCAGGTTGAGTCTGTGAAGGTACTGAACATCGGTGCGGGAATTCAATGCCTGTGGTGGGGGATACTTCAGTTGTACAATTGGACCATCACGTGGGTACTTGGGCGGGGTGACAAGAATGGGAACCCCGGTGAGTTCACCTCCATGTCTCAGTATGACTATGGGTCATATAATTATATATATATATATACACAGAGCTATAATATATATATATATACACACACATACATAGCTATATATCCACCTGCAACTGGAACTGCAACCCCAAGTCTGGATCAAAATGAGGTACTCAGATAGTTTGATGGTTACGGAAGTTACTGACCAAATCCGAGGTCCGGGGTTTCAAATTTTGACGAAGGCGCAGGGATTTCACCCAGAAATTTGGGACACAAAAAGGCGCAGAGTCCAGTGTCTTCGCCAACGAATGTGTGGAACATGTGCTTTCTGCAGCTTGGAAGTACTGGAATTTAAGTGGGAATCAATCCTCCAGACTCAACCTTGAGATCTCCAATTTGTGGAGATGGACAGCTGTGGCTGAGGTTCCAACACGTACGACCTCGCGAACTTCGAAAAGGAGCAGGCGGAAAGTTCCGACGTTGCGGATGGTCTAGACTCTAGACTGCTTTGGGTTTGCTGGTCATGTTGCTGCTGGGCCATTGCTGAACAGTCACTTCCTTTGAACAAAAAACTTGGTGCAGGTCCAGCTAACGCATCTGCCTATGGATTGTAGAGATTCTCGCTGGAAAGATGGACAGATAGCCAGGCGATGGTTCGATCTTCCACTGGTGCGACGGGAACTCAAAAGGCGCAAGGGGCGGGCATGGTGTTAGCTTTGATGGATTACTATATACTGATGTATGATACGTATTTTGCTTGGCTGCCTCCTGATCTAATTATCAGAGTGGGTTTGGAGGCAGCAGCTTGGTCCTTTTGTTGATAAACAACGTGCAAAAAAGAACAGTGAGCCACCAGCAATTCCCTACGAAAAGATATGACGATGCCACCAGCAATTACCGGATCCTGAGAATAGGTCGTTTTGCTGCTTCGTCATTTGAGATGGTGTACGATGAATCATTGAGGTAACTTCCATTTCATAAACATCATAAACCCTCCAGAAAAGTGGGGGATGACAGTTATGAATTTGAAGATAGCCTCACTGGTGCTGATTCAGATTCAGGTTCTTGGTTATGACACTTATGACCTGGGGCCCCTGGCTTGGCCCACAACAGGAGTTGGAGGAGTTGCACAATCAGATCGTCGCGGCGTTGGATAAACTCGTCACCGCCGTGAGCCGCGTGTGACGCAATTGATGCGCTTCGTTGCGGGCTTTGGGCGAAGGGGGTGAAACATGGGGTAGAACATGATAGAATGATGGAATCATTGATGATGGGCTATATCATAGATTTTAGTGATATATTGGGGGTGTCAATGATGTTATTTTTTTAATATGGGTTATCATAGATCCTCTACCGAAAGCGGCAAAGCTTTAGTTATGGCTGGTTGATTTGACCAACCCAGGGTTGTTGGCACATTCTCTGGAAGGGTAGAAGACATGTCCAGCAAGTGGCTAATTATTTGTTGCAGGCCAGCTTACGACCCCAATGAACATCCCTGCCAACGAGTGATTTTCCAGATCTAATTATCAGGATACCAAATGTTGCGATCCCATGACCATCGCTTGTGGCTCAACATCACCGCCCCAAAATCACATGAAACTCGACTAAACGTGACTGATTTGCTGGATCACTCCAGGAGTATAGGAGTCCATTGCTCCATTTTTGGCCTATTTCCATATGTTTCTTGGAGGATATCCCCAAATAGATGGGGACATCTATTTGGGGATATCCCAAAATAGATGAGGATCTCCAGCCATATTTTTGGGATATCCCCATATGTTTCTTGGAGGATATCCCCAAATAGATGGGGATATCCCCAAATAGATGGGGATATCCCCAAATAGATGGGGATATCCCAAAATAGATGAGGATCTCCAGCCATATTTTTGGGATATCCCCAAATGTTTCTTGGAGGATATCCCCAAATAGATGGGGATATCCCCAAATAGATGGGGATATCCCCAAATAGATGGGGATATCCCCAAATAGATGGGGATATCCCCAAATAGATGGGGATATCCCCAAATAGATGGGGATATCCCAAAATAGATGAGGATCTCCAGCCATATTTTTGGGATATCCCCATATGTTTCTTGGAGGATATCCCCAAATAGATGGGGATATCCCCAAATAGATGGGGATATCCCCAAATAGATGGGGATATCCCAAAATAGATGAGGATCTCCAGCCATATTTTTGGGATATCCCCATATGTTTCTTGGAGGATATCCCCAAATAGATGGGGATATCCCCAAATAGATGGGGATATCCCCAAATAGATGGGGATATCCCAAAATAGATGAGGATCTCCAGCCATATTTTTGGGATATCCCCATATGTTTCTTGGAGGATATCCCCAAATAGATGGGGATATCCCCAAATAGATGGGGATATCCCCAAATAGATGGGGATATCCCCAAATAGATGGGGATATCCCAAATAGATGAGGATCTCCAGCCATATTTTTGGGATATCCCCATATGTTTCTTGGAGGATATCCCAAAATAGATGGGGATATCCCCAAATAGATGGGGATATCCCCAAATAGATGGGGATATCCCCAAATAGATGGGGATATCCCCAAATAGATGGGGATATCCCCAAATAGATGGGGATATCCCAAAATAGATGGGGATATCCCCAAATAGATGGGGATATCCCAAAATAGATGGGGATATCCCCAAATAGATGGGGATATCCCCAAATAGATGGGGATATCCCCAAATAGATGGGGATATCCCCAAATAGATGGGGATATCCCAAGATAGATGAGGATCTCCAGCCATATTTTTGGGATATCCCCATATGTTTCTTGGAGGATATCCCCAAATAGATGGGGATATCCCCAAATAGATGGGGATATCCCCAAATAGATGGGGATATCCCCAAATAGATGGGGATATCCCAAAATAGATGGGGATATCCCCAAATAGATGGGGATATCCCAAAATAGATGGGGATATCCCAAAATAGATGGGGATATCCCAAAATAGATGGGGATATCCCCAAATAGATGGGGATATCCCAAAATAGATGGGGATATCCCAAAATAGATGGGGATATCCCAAAATAGATGGGGATATCCAGCCATATTTTTGGGATATCCCTCTATGTTTCGGAGCAGTCCAGGCCAATCCACGGAGCCTCAGAGCCAAGAGTTGCAGCCTGGGAGGCCTCGGATGAAGTCCATGGTGCAGGACTTGGGACATCTTGGGACCGTTGATATGAAAAACATCAGTGGTTGATGTTTTTTTGATGTTTTTTTTAATGAATTTATTTGTTTGTTGACTCAGATTTTGGATGACTTGAGTATTTTGCTGAAGAAAACATCCCGAGATCATGAGGTTAATACATGTCCCAGTTTGTGTGACTTAAAACATGGCTGGAAGACGTTTGGTGCGATCCTTTTCGCTATCTTTTACAACAGGGACATTGTGGAAATGGGCTGGATCACCAAGAATCATGAGAAAGTATAAACTAGTAACTAGTATACACTATATAAACTATATAAACTATATAAACTATATATAGTTTTATATATCAATTCTATATATCAATAGTATATCAATGATGACTATTGAGATTTGGCGAAGGGTTTCATCCGGATTTGCCCCGGCAGGATTATGAAAGAACCAACTAGGATCATATTTGTTTCAGAATGGGTTCCACTGGGATACTTTTATAGGACTTTTTTTTCATGTTTGGATGGGAACATATTTCTGAAATCTCCTGATTCATTTAAGATTTCCAGTAAGTTTTTCCGTCAAACTATATAACTCAGTCAATTTGGGAATGCGCTGGGCTGCAGGAGAAGAAAGAAGCCTCGGACAATGCGCGGAGGCATCGTCTTGCTGTCCATGTCGCGCCCTCAGAGGGGCACTGCGCATTGGATCGTTCCCCATGCCAAGGGCCAAAGAAGGTGGGTCTCTGAAAAATTTTTGGAAAACCAGATGATGCCATGTTTAATTATGGTCTTTCCCATTCAGATTGCCGTAAACTGGGTAGCCATGCCCCTTTCACTCGGACCCTACTGGCAGATTTTGTTGGGATGAACTTGTAGCCCCAGGATAAGAAGATGCTGGGCGACTGCGTTCGGTTGGTGGACTACATGTTCCAGGCGGACGGGTGTAGTGCAAATGGCTTTGTCTCAATGGGTTTGTCTCGAAGCGGGGCATAACCTCTGGCCATTCTACGTGGGAAAATGAGGACACACCGAATGATTTGTAGGTCCATAGGTGGACCCCGAAAAGGCCACGGCTTACTACTGCTCACGCCGATTGATGAACGAATCAAGAGGCAGTGCTCGGCAGGTCTCTAGTAGAATTTTGACACAGACCAAGGGCATCAGATCTGGTACAAACCCAGATGATGTAGATGGTGGCTATTCCGCTGTAATTTCCCAAGGCTTCAAAAAAAAGATTTGTCCGTCACCTTCCAAAAAAGGTTTCCCTTGGACATGATCGAAATCCAAAACGACTTGTCCAGTTCACCTGAGATGATCCCAGCAGTTGATCAAGGCCTCAGCAATGACTTTCCAATGGTTTTTCCATGGCTTCTTGGCTTCATAGAAGTCCTATTTCCCACTGGATGAGCTGCGGCCAGGCCTGCTTAGCCAAGGTGGTGATCAACGCTGGGGCCACAGATAGCATGGAGGTCACATATTGGATGTTCACGTTCACAGCCTCTTGTTCACGTTCAATCTGTTTTGGTCCAAGAAGTACTGGTTGAAGCGAAATTACGAATATCCATTCTATTCTTATTCTTTTGCTTATTCTTATTCGTATTCTTATTCTATTCTATATCATGCTATATTATATATACATAATCTTACATTATGTTATATATATATACATTACATTATATTATATTACATTAAATTATATTACATTATATTATATTACATTATATTATATTATTACATTACATCACATTGCATTACATTATAGTATTAAAGTATCTTATATTAGTATTTATTATAGTATATATTATATTATATTATATTATATTATATGATATACATGATATATTATATGATATACATGATATATATTATATATAATATATTATATATTTATATTATATATATTATATATTATATATTATATATTTATATATTTATATTATATATATTATATATTATATATAATATATAATATATTATATATTATATATTATATATTCTATATTATATATTATATATTATATATTATGTATTATATATTATACATTATGTATTATATATTAGATATATTATATATTATATATATTATATATTATATATATATATTATATTATATATGATCTATTACATGTTATTGTACATATTATTAAATAAAGACCTTGGGACATTCGTGGGTTTTCCCTTCGATACGTCGATGACATCGACTTCTGACCCTTCAGAGTGGCAGCCTAGGCAGCAGTGGAGTTCTTTCAGCGTGTCTGTGAGCCCAGTGGGTTTACAGTTTCCGAAGGCGACAGCTTGTCGTTCCAGTTTCGCTTCCTGTTGAAGCTTCGGAGAGACCTAAAAGACCAGTTTTTTTTAGTGGTCAGCATGGCATGTTTTGCGTTCCTAGGTGGACAGTTCCAGCAAGATGTTTTCCATCTCCGTTGCCTTTGGAGAGAAGAATATGGCACCTTGCCATGGAATGGTTTGCGGGAGGACCGCGTTTTTCACTTTGGGAATACCCTCTGGTAAACTAACATAACTATGGAAAATCACAATTTTTAATGGCAAAATCCACTATAAATGGCCAATAGCCATGTTAGTTTACCAGAGGGTATCATGAGCCAAAGCATCAGATATTTCCGAGATCTTTTTGTTGGGCCATGGCATCAGAGAAGGAACTTACTTTCTTTTAAGTGGCTTGAATGTTACAAAAGTTTCTGCCGCTCCACGAGAGTGGCAGCTGGTCTCCAATCACCAAGAGGAGAGAAGGACCACTGGGAACATAGTCCCCAGTCAACCAGCGGCACACCAAGGGTACTTACTGGAAGTGTCAGGAGGATGGCTTTACTGAGGGCATGAAGGTAAGCGTTCCCCTAAACTCCACTAAACTCTCTGGCATTCTATGGGATTCCATCAATTGGCTATGCTCTCACTTGGTCACGGTTAAATGTTGCAGGCACCCAGTGAAATCCACAAAACCTTCCCACCTCCAGGTGTTCGATCCGTGCCTCGAAGACTTCATTGAGATGCTGTTCAAACTCTGGCGCGCCAGCGTGCAGGTGTGGGCACATGGGACAAACGGCTGGAAAGGCCCATAACTGCTGCTTGCCATCAGAACATGGGATCATTTTTCCATGGGGGATTTTCCATGCCAGGTGGTGAACGGCATTCCCTCTTTGCTCAGCGAGGCGCATTACGTCGTGAGCACAGACGTGGGCTGCAATGGTAGTAATACACAGAAATGCCATGAAATATCATCCAAGTTGGAGTTGGCAAGTGGTTGGCAACTATTTTTCCCGCATCAACTGTGGTGTCCAGTTGAGGGATTTTCTTGGCAGTTTCGGGGTACTCTTAGACAATGGACTAGGAGACTGGCTCCAGGAACATCACAAGAGCTCAGTTCTTTGGCCAGCATGTCATCCATCCGGTCATGCAATCAGCAGTCCAGAAGCCACAAAACTTTTCACCCTCCATCGTGACTTAACCCAACTGAACCCCCAAAATCCCAAGATGGATGGTTTATGATGGTTTAATCCTCAGAAGGACCACATCTGGCCCAGTGCCGTAGTCGTTGGATGGTCTGAGGAGCCCGTAAAAAAAGTAGTAAGTGGGCCAAGGCCAAGCATTTAACCCATGCCGTGGCCAACTCGCAAACTGTTTGGGCTCCTGAGACGGGTTGCTGGACGTTGCCGGGCTCAACGGGTGTGTGGAATGGCTGAAAAAATGCGTGGTTGATTGCTTTATCACCATTTTCATCCATTTTCTCCATTGGAAAATGCGAGGGGCAGGCTTAAATCTCGAGGAAATGTGAGGTTCAGCAGAGGTTTGGTGATTGTGATCAGGCCTTCTTTTCAGCATCGACGTACGCAGCGATGCCAATGACATGATGGCTTTGTCTGGAAATCGGGAATTCAAAATTCCAATGGTTTATCATCTTTTCCCCAATAAGTATATATATATATACATACATAGATATCTTATTCTATTTTGGTGTTAAATTCCACCATTTTTAGACATAGCCTGATAAGTCAGGTCGAGAGCATTCTCAACAACAACTGGCAGTTCAACCACTACACAGCAGCTGTGCGTGAGAGGCACGGATTGTTGGTGACTTCAACCCTCTTAAAAGATGCCTTTTTTTTTGGTAACAGCCTAAAAAAAAATTGAATACTGCAAGGCTAAACCAGGATTTCTGGGGGTTCTTGAATATTGGGATTAGATTTCTATATCCCTTTTGGAGTTCGGTAAGACATCGTAGAACATTGCTGAACGAAAGTCTGCTAGTCGTGATGCTTTGGAATTGGCGGGCTTGGAAACGCATGATCTGCAGGATTCAGGCAGACATCAACACGGCACAGGTGGGTTGCAGAGCGGAGTTGCCGCCAGTCGAGCAATTTGCAGTGAGTCATTCATTTTGAGGGTTTCTGTAAAGGGGGGTACCCCAAAGCAGATGGTTTATAATGGACAATCCCATTAAAATGGATGATTTGGGGGTACCCCTATTTTAGGAAACCTCTATTTTGAGGCTATCCAGTTTTGACAATTTCTTTAGCAGATAGGGATTTGTTCAATGCTGAACTCAGGACTACCGAGAAGTATCGATAAGTGATGCTCTTTGATTTTCAAAAAGCTGAGCAGATTTTCCACTGGTTCTGCTGCCAGAAATTCTCGGACAAACACTTCGAGATGTTCCGTCGCATCCATGACTACGGCAACAGCTTGGGAGCCTAGCAGGAGCAGTCGACCAAGCACAAAGGGATGTCACCTACTCAAAACTGCCAGAAATGCGGAGAATGCAATTTTTATGCAACAACTTTTTTTCTGATTTTGACTCGGAACCTTGGGATGATTCAAGAAAAATCGCGACGCTGCTCCGCTGTCAGATTGGGATGAGAAGGCCTATGTGGCAGCTGCCAGCGCCCAGGAGTTTTCTTTTGTGGGCGGGAAGGGGTTGGAGACTTGACGGGATGCTTTTGTGATTTTTTCAGAAATCCATGGTGGATTTTCGTAAACCTTCCATGTTGATCCATGTGGGTATATTCCCAATTATAGCCATTTAATAGGGATAATGATCATTAACCATTGGGTGTAGGGGTACACAACATTTTCAGACAAACCCATGTTTCATGATTCTTCCATCGAATCTTTCAACAAATGATCATTAGGTCCTCGCGCCAGGACCTTGCTTCTGAGATGAGCTTGATGAGAGACTTCCAGGCCCCGCGTATGTTGCGTGTTTTGTGTTGGTCTCTATTACTGGCAATGCTGATCACATAGATTTGATATAGCCATGATTTACCCATCATGTTTGGAATAGGTGAGGATGTATCCATACTTCACCAGGATCATCATGGCATTGTGCTACTCCTTTTTTGTGTACAGTGATGGCTTCATCATGCCAGTGTGATCAGGCAAAAGCATTGCTATTAGACAATATATCAATACCGTCAACATGGATAAAATTACGTATTCTTCATAATGAGTATGTTAGGAGATATAGCAAGTTGAGAAAATAGTAAGTATAGTAACAATCATTGAGATAAACATAGTTACAAGTTAGTACAGTATAAGATATAGTATCATAGAATTGGATGATGGGAAAATTTACAGGAAACCCCTATATTTGATGGTAAAAACCATGGTTTCCTGTAGATTTTCCCTTAAACCAATCCATTGATAGTAGCTCAACTATTTTGAGTTTCCTCATTTCCCTTGCTTCTCTGCTCTTGGGAGCTATCTTGGTGCTCAGTCCGACCTGGATAAGTACAAGCAACACCATCACGTGGGAGAGCTAAGTTAGCAACTGACAACACGGGGTCAACTCATTGGTTTAGAAGATATAAAGGGTCAAAACATGTTGAACCATTTCTTTTCAACACTTTTAAAAGAAATGTTTTCCTACGAATTCTGGGTGGCTGGGTATATCAAGCTTAACCAGAGAAATGGATCGCCATGGAACGCACAGCTGGCTTTTGAGTGATGGACATTGAATCGTTACTTTTGAGTAGAACAACATAGAACACTTGTTTGAGGAACCACAATGGTGTTTCACGGGACGCAATTGAAGCGGTCTTCCACACAGGAGTAGAAGCTATCCACTGACACTGGGGCAGAACTTACCATTTCACAGCCCTGAAACTGCGAATGGAACCTCGAGAGACCTGGGTTCGAAGATTTGTTCAATTGGAGATGGCCAGTTTTTGGGGGTTCCATGCGCTGAATCGGGAAATGCCGACCCGCAAGGGGCCCCCATGGCGCGCTGCTCCCAGGTTGGAATCATCATGATCAACGGCAGCAACCTGCGGGAAAGCGCGGGACCAAAGATCCGGAAAGTGGGCCATTCTTCCCAGCGAAAAAAGGTATCTGAAAGACTATGAACACACCCCCGGGGTTTCTACCTGGAGATGTTCACATCATTCCAGGAATCATTCCAGGAATCATTCCAACATCTCCAGCATCTCCATCTGTGCCATCAAGGCCTCCAGCCAGTGCCCAAGGAGGGTCTGACGGCCATGAAGCGCGGCCTGGAAGACATCGCGCGAAAGAAGTGCGAGGTGGTGAAACGACGCTTCGATCAGGCCAACAAGGTGCCAATATGGGAATGGGATGTCGGAGGTTGGAGGTGGGATGGCTGGTGATCTCTCAACTTCTCAACTTTGGGAGAAAAGAACATGCCTTTGGCCTTTGGGTTTTTTGGGTCCAACTTGGATAGGGCTTGTTTTCCACTATCCAAACCAATGTGGAGATGTTCATGTGCTCAGCTGCAGGGATATCACTGTAAATTCAGTGCCATCAACTAAACAGGGCATTTTTGACCATGGTAATCTGGCAATGGTGGGATGGCATGGGATGGACACGAGGTCTTCGGGTGTCCGGTTCAATGCCGGTGCCGATAGAAATTTCTGGCTGAGGCCTTGGATGTTCGGCCAACGAGCCTCACAGCATTTGCCGATTACATCAAGGTGCGCTGCCATGAACCTCGGGAGATGTTTTGTTTGATGTTTAATGGTTTTGGGTTTACGACAATGCCATTTTTTTTTCTCGCAATATCACCCCCAAAACATGGGGTGCGTTGTAGAAAAGCGGATCTGAGTGATCTCGATTGTCATGGCAGTTCACTGTTCAATGCCATGATTCATGAACATGTATATCACGGTGACAACCATCAAGAAGATCAGTTTGCTGTTGTTGTTGCTGGTGATGATGATGATGATGATGATGGCGATCTTCATGATATTGCCCTTTCAGCCAGTAACTTGGAAGTCGAGCGACTTTCGCTGGGATGGCGATGGACAGGCCTTTAATGAGATTAAGAACCTGGAGCCAGAGTTGGAAGAAGCACGGGAAGAGGTGCGAGTTGGAGCCATGATCCAGCATCAATGATGGCAACAGGCCACATATGGCCACATGGCTCTTGAAAATTTGGGAGAACCCCCCCTAGATTCCCTAGATCTATTGGTTAATCATCACTATCCAATAATTTCATCTAATTTTGCTATAGCTTGGGAGGCATTTCCCAGTTTCAGCCACGCTCAGATACGAAACATATCCCGTCCCAGCACTTTGCCATGTTTTCACCATTTTTTACACGGAGCTAACAAAATAACACAACAAACACTGGTATGTTTTGCTTTCAGGTGGAGTCGATGTACCAGCTTTTGCGGCAGTACAACGTGCGCGTTGGTGGCACGGAGCGCCCTTGGCCCAGGGTCGATCAAGTCAAGTTGATCACCCCCCAGCTGATCGTTGGGTCATACCCAGAAGATGGCCCTTTAGCTGCGTGAACCAATGGAATTCAGGGTACTGGTACCCAATTTTCATAGCCATTCCAATCATGCCAAGCCCTTTCAGGAGCTGGAAAACTTGGAGTTCCTGCAAGCCAAGGGCAGCGAGTTTGCAGAGCGAAAGCTGAACGAGGTCGCGGAGGATGACATGTTGGGATGGCATGCATTGTTCTGGATAACTCGTGTTGCGACTTACTGCGATCTGACTGGAATGATGGTCACAAGGGGTATGTTCCGTTTGTGGGTCTGGACCTGAAAATGGGGGGAACATCATCATTATCTGGTGGATTTAGAGGTTTACCGGTGTGCAATTTTCCAGACCTCCCGATATCATCGGGATGTATGAAAAATGGTCTCACCCTGAATGCATCCTGAATTGTCGCCGCTCGCTTTGGCTGTTGATGTTCCTTTGTCCTTGAAGGCCGATGCCTACATCCGGGAGAAGCAGGATGAACAGGTGGAGAATCTGAACGCAGCGCCTTGGAAGAACTTGCGGAAGCTGGTGGGAACTGAGGTGATTTCAACGCCGATACCTGGGGGAATATTGCAGATAGGTCAAATTGAAGCACTTTCAACATGTTTCAACAAGAAAGAGGGTTGCCTCATTTTGGGACAAGCCTTACATAAGCAGCACTGCCAGACTGCTTATGTTTTACGTACCAGAAGGGCAATTTCTAGCTACAAGCGGGTTTGTAGCCCAGATTGCATGGTTCTAAGAGGTACAGTGCTGGCCGGAAAATGCAGCAGTTTCCCCCGGCTCGGAGCCTGCAAGGTCTCTCAGATGGCTGAAGAGGACGCGAAGAAAATTGTGGAGCAGTGACCTGGTTGATGACTTGCAGCTTGCTGATCTCCTCAACTTTGCAAAATATGCTCAACTTCGTAAAATGATGAATATTTTTGGACCCGGCAAAATATTATATATATATATATGTATGTCTGTCTGTATAAATATGCAGATTTTGAGGCGTCAACTTTGAGTATTTAGGGCCCCACTTACTAAGTCAGCCTTCAGCAGCCTCATCCACCATAAGCTAGCTTCGTAAAGAGGTGGGCATCATTGGTGACCATTCCCTCGGCTTTCATTGCTTCGTGTGCCATCACAAGACATTTCAAGACAATGATTCAGTGGTTCGACGGTGCCATTTTTTCTGATGGCCGATTCACCTGCTTACCATGGTTTGAGAGACATTTTTATTGGTTCCCAAGGGCCGGTAGAAGAACACACCCTGTTTAGTGTGTCGCAGTGAAACATCCACCATTGAGGGTGTGCCTTTGGGGGGGGTTGTCATTGTCATCCACAGGTCGATAGGAAGGCATATTTCGAAATGGGAAGAAATACCACTAGATGCAATCACAGCGCAATCACAATCAGACGCCATTGATCTCAGCAAATCCTTTTAACCTCTGGGAAGTGCACAGAAAACCCTGCGCTTGAAAAAAATCCGGCTCGTGTTTGGATGTGATCTTGCGGAAGTCTGCCAAAGTCACTGCTTCTGTGCATGCCTTTTCTTTCTCTTTCTCTCTCTGTTTATTGAAACACGCGATTCTCGATTTGTTTAGGACACCAGATCAATTTTCTGGATGAACTTCAGTTCCTAGAGCTGGTGGTTTGAGGGTTTGCCACGTTTGCCTAGGTTGCGCTCTGGATGCTTCGTGACGCTGGACCGTACCCGGGGAGTTGCGGTTTCAGAATATGACCAGGGTAGACACCTTGCAATTTCATGCAATTTCTATCACAACTTGAGGATCCCAGCACTGATGGATGGATTGCATTGATGGCATTGCAGCATAGTCAGGTTAGCAGTTGGTCTTGAGCAAGTCTTGGGGACGGGCCACATTTAATCATGGTCCAGTTTCAACATCGACCTCCCTCAGACCGTGGATGACTCAGAAAGTTTGTGACCAGTTTGCTCTCAAGACTAGAGAATAGAAAAGTGAGGCCACATCAAAATTTGCTGGGGATATGTGACATGTGTGTATGTAAGACTATATTATACAACGTGGCCCCCCCCCCAGTTGTAAGTTGATTTAGAACCCCCATTAACTCTATAGTTATAAGCATCATAAACCATAGTTATTGGAGTTATAACCAACTTAGCTATGTAGGGAGGGCCACTTTGTATGTGATGTTGTAGGATTTTTATCCAAGTGGCACAATCAGATTCAACATGCCGACACACTGGCCGCCCAGTGATAAGTTGGTTGATCAATCCATACACATTTTTTCTTATGATTTATATATTTTCCAGAGATCGAATATTTAGTTTAGTTTGTAATCAGGTGAGCAGTGTTCAAAACCCCTATTGGTTCATGAGTTCGGGGAATTCTACTACATTCTGCTGCACTAGCCTTTCTACATGGAGGTTTCCTAAAATGGGGGTACCCCAAATCATCCAAACTACATTCCTGAAATCAATCATGGAACCGCATGCCATTCCTAAAGTCCACTAACATGGCACCAAACTAGGATCTCCAAATCTATTGAAGTCTCCGTGTCAAGCGCCATTGGAAAACAACGCTGGCTAACATGGAAGTTTCAATTGAACCCTCAACATGCGGGGTTCTATGTTGATATGAAAAGTGCCCAACACTGTCCAAACATCTCCAAATTCACCAGGCCTGATGTGCACTAACATGGCACCTGCCCTGCACATATCGCACTCATATATTTTAACATAATATTTGATTTGACCTTAACATGGAACTCGCTTTTATTCTCTTTTTGTTTGTTTTTAATGTGACTTTTCGGGAGAGATTGGAGCATTTTCGTATTGTATCTATGGTGACGACTGGGGATCCCCGACTTAAGAAACCCACGCCAGGGCCACCTCCAAACGCCCGAAGTGGTCATGGAAGAGCTTGGGGCTATCCAGGTGCTGTTGGTGGATCCAAACATCCTGCTCCAACTATTGTTATGTTACATAATGTGTCCAGAATATCTTGATTAGTTGGGGATTGTCACATAATCCATGAATTCCCGTTCTTCACCAGAATTTTCTTTGAATTGGATATGTTTTTCCGCCAAAAAGCCTGCGATTCTTTGGGAACATGTTTTTGAACAAATACTTTTTTGGTGCTAAAAAGGCCACACTTTTTGGACACGGTGACATCTTGGAATCTCTGAATCCCACAGCAATACAGCACAATTCCATCCTGGATTATCAGCTCCTGGAAGCAGTCGGTTTCTTCCGGACTCTTTGCGACCACAGCGTCAGGCTTTAGTGAGCAAACTGGAAGAAAAGGCTTTGAACTACAACGAGTACCAGGCCGCGGACCCCACGTTTTTTCATGGTTTATCCTTTTCCGCACGAAAATGGCCAAAAGATTGGGCTTGTTTCCATTTTTTGAACAAACCCTACTATCAGGTACTGTTGGTAGTGATATCCCATATTATATCCTTCATTATACCTCATTTAGACCCATAATATGCCAGGGCTCTTTGCCATTTTGATCCATATCCACGAGCGGTCCGCTGACGGCAGCCCTGTAAGGTGCTTCTGTACGTTCCAGTCCCATTCGAGTTTGCGGAGGTTGACAAGGCTGTGGACGCTGCCTGGGAAAGCTGGAATTGCAGATCCATGGAAAAGATTTGAACACTGGAGACATCTTAATTTTAATGATCTTTTAAACATGTTTTTTTGATATTTTTTGGGCTAAGTACAGACATGATGTGTCCGATGTGTCCGATGTGTCCTGACTTCTGCTCAGAGCACAGAACTTCTGACACCACTGGGAGGCCAAACAGCTTTTTGCGGAGAAATTGAAGTTGTGGACCCTGGCCAGTGACTGGAAGGCAACTGAATGCCATGCCGGGTCGGGTCAGTGAGTCATGCAATGGATCCAACCCACAGAGGCCGGGGCCCCGGTGTGCCAGGACCAGTATGACACGTGGAAGCGCGACGACATTTGGCGGAAGGACGAACATTCCAAGTTCAACGTGGAAGAGATGAACAAGAAGGTGGCATGCCGTGAGAAGTCGTTCCCCTTCCAAAATCGGGAGGTCGTTCCAAAGAAGACATGGTCCGAAAAAACCGGGAACATTTTGAACATTTTGAAAGGAGCAAGAAGTTTATCCGTACTCTTTGACGGTGCTGTGCCATCATCCATTTGGGAAGGTCCTGGAGTTCTCCAAAACTGCATACCAGCTGACGTCGGAGGGCCTGTGCCAATCCGGGAAGTTGATGGTCAACATTGGTCAACCCTTGTGAGTTCATGACTTGTTTGAAAAACACAAGGGTTGAGTACAGGATTTTTGGACGCGGGCCGCTGGTTGTGAACTTCGCAGCTGCGATTCTGAGGCGCAGTCTGGAAGGTGACAAGGTCGCTCAGGATATTAGGACTGGAGATGGTCATTTTTTCCGTGACTTTTGGCCACTTCTCCAATTTTCATGGCTTTTTTCCTGCTTCGGGTGGGGGAACCCCAGTATCATTTTATCATATTTTAATCATCTCCGGAGACCGGGACGTGGTGGCAAGGACGCAGATTGATGAAGTGAAGAGCAACATGCCCTGTATCATGGACCTGGGCAATCCTGCGCTGAGGCGAGGGCGATTTTTTTGGGTTTGTGCAGCCAAAAACTATTGGGTCTATTGGGAATATATGTGACCAACGTCAAATGAGGAAAAACAAAAAAGGTCATGGCAGCCTGACTCACAAGTGTTTGGCTATTGGTTGGCTGTTTCAACCATGGTTGGCTGTTTCCCCATCCCAAGCTGGAACCATGACCTCACGATCTCCTGCAGGGATCGACATCACGCAAAGATCAAGCAGGAACCGGCGTACTCGCGGACATCACCAAGATATACCAAGATGACAAAACATGGGGACATAACCAACAAAGACTGGAACTTGTATATTGGGCATTGGGAGAGCCATGGTGTTTTGACAAATTCTTGGGAAGCCAACAGGTCATCCTCGGTTTTATGTGGTGTTTTTTTCTCAGGGGAAGCCGCTCGGTTCATGGGTCGTTCCAGATTTCTGCCCTGCGCCAGGAGATTGAATGGAAGCATCCATCGTCTCAGCAGGTGACCCTGAACTCATTGATGTCACACAAGGTCTTCGACAAGAAGGCGATCCGTCAGACTGCAATCCGGAGTGGAAGCGGCAGCTCCCCCCACGGCCGCGCTTGAATGATGGGTTTTGGCAAGGTGAATCATCCTCCAAAACACGAGCAAGTTCAGGTTTGCGAATCATGATGATTGAGAAGATACCGCCCCCCTGACTATGGTTACTGTAATATATGTAATATGATTGGGGATGATATTGGGTATTAAATTTTAGTAGGGATTTATCCACTAGTAGAATCCTACTATATATATATTATTATATATAATAGTAAATACCACCCTAAAACCCCACTTTCTCACATTGGATCTAGTCATTCTTGGGATCCCAGCAGTCTGCTGTTTCTTTCCCAGATAGAAGAATTCTCATAGGAGGATGTTGTTCATTTCATGATCATACATGAACATGCATATATGACATACTGATATACCGCATATATATATAATGTATATTATATACATGTGTATACTTTATATGTGTGTATTATGTATATATATATACATATTCGGGTACCTATGTACATATATATATATATCATGTATATATATATGATATATATATATATATATACATGATATATATATATATACATGTGTATACACATCATGGTTGATGACATTTATTTCTCACATTTGGCAAACATCATCCACTGTTCTTCCCTCCCTCCGAGACTCACCAGGAATTCATTTCGGAGATCAGTGGTATCGCTAGTGGCGAGTTTGCCCTCGAACAACAGCTCCAAAAGGCGCGCGGAGGAAATCAGTTGGGTGTGGCTATCGCTCAGAAAAACTCAACAATGGCCCAATGGCTAGTAATTTGATAGCAACACCCAATGGCTCAATAATAGTTGGGTGTTGGCTAAACAATTGCCAAATTGGCTAACATGTTGTTTTTCTCTTTTCTGTTAGCCGAAATGGCTAAAACACGAGGATAGCTCATGTTTCTAGTGTTTTGATGGTCAACACTGCCACTCAATATTGCAGTTACCTGAATGGGACAGCCTTCAACGATCACTGCGGATTTGAGCCCCACCACTGGTGGCCACAATATATGCCCCATTGATGTGTTACACTACGCACTTCCAATGCCGAGAAAATCCTGCGCTTTATATCACCACCAGTTCGCGAAAATTGAGGTCAAAGACTTCTAATTTTCAGGCCCAGCCACACATTTTGAAACCTGAACCATCCAATTTTTGGTGTCCCTGAATTAAAACCCATGCGCATAATATGGGGGTTTGAATGGTCATCCATGACTTGGATGATTTGGGGGTTCCACCCGGACTTAGGAAATCTCCATATAGAAAGATAGTGGAATTCCCCGAACTCATCAACCAATAGAGGTTTTGAACACTGCTCACCTGATTTCAACCCATGCCCATATGGAGGTTTCCGAAGTCATGGAGGTACCCCTAGTTCTCATCCAAATTTTTAAAAAAATAGGATTTTTCCACTACACACCATCCAGCTATTGGGGTACCCCCATGATGGAAACCCTACATATTCTTGAGATTTCTTGAGTCTATTGCCATATATAAACCATATTTCTTGGGAGTTTCCACTATAAATTTGGGAGATTCCACTAATGTGGGTAAAACAATGCCATAGACCACCCATTCGAGAATGGTTTGAATCCCACCTATAAAAATGGTGATGACTGGGGTATGGTGCAGATGGCATTGTTTTACCCACATTACTTTATTAATCACCATTAATCACCATTATTAAACATTATTAAACATCATTAACCATTATTAAACATCATTAACCATCATTAACCATCATTAACCATCATTAACCATCATTAACCATCATTAACCATCATTAACCATCATTATTTGTTGCCATAAATGGCGTTTAGCCATCCTTTGATGACCCAGGTAGTGGATGCCTGGGCAGATTTGCTCCTGCCCATCCAGCAACATCGCCGGGACCGTTTTTTAAGCGAAAAGATGTCGTTGCGACATGTTCAGCTGCCAACCTGCAGCTTAAACAGTTGAGCGAACATGGGAAACAATATGTATGTTTATATATATATAATTTAGCATGATCAATAGGTTAGTGAAATATTATAATTTACCCATATATATATAAACTATATTCTGATGACCTAACACTGGTCACACTATGTCACTATGTCTCAGCAGTGACTTTAAGATTCAACTTTTCCACTTCCACTTTGCTGACCATCTGAGGGCTGGGCCCGCTGGCGATTTAAGATTCAACAACCTTTCATGATTTAATTTTTTTTATTCTAAAAAACTCACCCCACATTACATATCATAAGATGGTTATTTAATTGTTTTACATCATGGGAAATGGTATAATACATACTTTACTGGTAAGTTATCCATAAGATGGTCAATTCATTATCATGGATCTTATGGATGGTAAATTATCCTTTATCTTTTATTGTTTATGATCCAATTTCGATGGTCATACCGCTGGTCATGAATGACTCTACGGACGGGGGGCGCGTTCTGTGCCGTGCTCCCCCAGGAGCAGTGGATCCTGGGTGATGTTAGTGACATCATCACCCAGCTGGAGGACACATTTGGACTGGGATCGGAATAGTGAAGTTGGATACTAAGTTGGTTTCTAAGTATAAATCATAGAATTGGATGATGGGAAAATTTACAGGAAAGCCCTATATTTGATGGTAAAAACCATGGTTTCCTGTAGATTTTCCCTTAAACCAATCCATTGAATAAAAAAAAACTGGTACTGGTACTATGAAAAGATACTAGTACCAATGTACTCATACTAGTTAGATACTCAGTTGGATACTGGTACTGGATAACCCCCATGAAAACTATCGTTATGAGATGTTATAAGTATCATAGTTGCCATAATTGCAGTAAAAATGCACCAACTGAGCTATCAAAAACGGGGGCCACATTGACATTTTCGAAAGGATTTCCCACATGGCAACGATCAAGGACCATTCGGTCCAGATTCAGACGATGATGGGGTAGGGAATCCTGTGGATTCGGAGTGGATCATGGATGAGAGGATCAATGTTAGAAACTGCGATTCGCGATGGTATCGAATGATGGTGAATGATGGTGAATGATGGTTAATGATGGTGAATGATGTTTAATAATGGTGATTAGTGGTGATCACTTTTTTTGTTGGGACATTGAGGTATTCATTTTACCTTAGGCGCCTAACAACGACCCAGAGGCATCTATATTGGTGATTTTGGTGACATGGTTAGCACACACACACACACGAAAGCGAATGTGTCCTGTATCATGTAATATCTCTCAAGTCTCTCTCTCTCTCAATATACATATACATAGACATCATAGTCACTGTATACCTATATAATCATATATACACACATACGTATATGTAAAAAGGGACAAAAGTGCAGACCCAGTGGCTGTAGAAGCTGTGGGGCCAAACCAAGAAACCTGGCCTAGGTCACGTTTTGTCCGCGACATTCGACACAGTGTGGAGATCTGGGAACAAAAGATCAGGTGCCCAGGGTGGCTAAGTCACCCGAAAAATGAAGCGAACAGGGCCGGCTGGAATGTTTTATTATAGGCATTAATGGTATCTAATGGGATTTTATGGTGGTTTAATGGGATCTAATGGGATTTTATGGTGGATTTACTGGGCCAATAGCCTATTTTATTATAGGCATTAATGGTATCTAATGGGATTTTATGGTGGTTTAATCACGAAAGCTAGCGTCAGCTAGCTGGAGTCTTCTTGCTTTCCCAAGGACATCACGTGATTTTTCACGTGAAAGGGGCCCCCCCCCTCCCCCCCACCACCACCACCACCACCACCATCATCATCATCATCATCATCATCCTCACCGTCGTCGTCCTCGTCGTCGTCCTCGTCATCGTCATCGTCATCGTCATCGTCATCGTCATCATCATCATCATCATCATCATCATCATCATCATCCATCATTCATCATTCATCATTCATCATTCATCATTCACCATTCACCATTCATCATTCATCATCATCATCATCATCATCACCATCATCATCATCATCATCATCGTTATTCAATTACAATTTATCATTATTGGCAATTATTGGCATTATCACGAAAGCTAGCGTCAGCTCGCTAGAGTCTTCTTGCTTTAGCAAGTATTCCGGGGCTCCCCAAGGACATCACGTGATTTTTCACGCGTAAGGCCCCCCCCCCCTGCCCCCTTCCCCATATATATCATTGTTATATATCATATATCATATATCATTGTTGCATCCTCGTTGGGACGAACAATGCCGCGACACGATGATGACAGTCCCTCCGCAACTCACCTCTTCCCTTCCTTCTTTCTCCTACCCCGCTAGCTTTCGTCATCCACCCCCGGCCTCAAGTGGGATCTAATGGGACTTTATGGTGGATTTACTGGGCCAATAGCCTATTTTTTGTGGGACGATGAGACTTAGCGGATGAGACATAGGTTGGCCTCCGACACTCTGGACGAGTGGTTGCAAGTCTGGGGCCTTGGTCGGTGAGGCATGAAACACATATATATATATATTTGTAGATATGTATAATATAATATGATATAATAAATATGATATAATATGATAACATATAACATAATATAATATAACATAATTTAATTTCATTTAATATGATATAATATGATATACTATATACTATATACTATATAATATATAATATATAATATATAATATATAATATATAATATATATAATGTATAATATGTAATATATATATATAAATAATATAATATATGTATATCTATACCCCAGGCCGGGGGTGCCGCCCAGAGGTTTACACACATACATTACATACATCACATACATCACAAACATCACATACATCGCATACATCACATAAATCACATACATCACATACATTACATACGTCACATACATTACATACATTACATACATTACATACATTACACACATTACATACATTACATACATCGCATACATCACATACATCGCATACATCACATACATCACATACATCACATACATTACATACATCACATACATTACATACATTACATACATTACATACATTACATACATTACATACATTACATACATCACATACCTTTCACACACTACATACATTACATACATTACATGCATTACATACATTACATACATTACATACATTACATACATTACATACATATACATATACATATACATATACATATACATATACATATACATACACATACATACATACATACATACATACACATACATACATACATACATGCATGCATGCATGCATGCATGCATGCATGCACATAGATACATAGATACATAGATACATAGATACATAGATACATAGATACATAGATACATAGATACATAGATACATAGATACATAGATACATAGATACATGCATACATGCATACATGCATACATGCATACATGCATACATGCATACATGCATACATGCATACATGCATACATGCATACATGCATACATGCATACATGCATACATACATACATACATCAATACATACATACATACATGCTTGCATACATACATACATACATATATATACATACATACATACATACATACATACATACATACATACATACAATACATCAATACATACATACATACATGCATGCATGCATGCATGCATGCATGCATGCATACATGCATACATGCATACATGCATACATGCATACATGCATACATGCATACATGCATACATGCATACATGCACACATGCACACATGCACACATGCACACATACACACACACATTGCATTTGAGGATTTTGTGCAGAGTCAACATGGTCCGCAGAAGGTACAAAGACACTGGCTATATGCAGTGATTTAGAGTTTGAAAATAGATAGACGGACGGACGGACGGATAGACAGAAATATACATAGATTAATTGATCGATTGATTAACTGACTGATTGATTGATTGATTGATTGACTGATTGATTGATTGATTGACTGATTGATTGATTGATTGACTGATAGATAGAGATGTAGATGTAGATATAGATATGCAGATAGATATACTGTGGATATGCAGACAAATATAGATATACACACAGATACACACAGGGATAACTCGAGATCTACATTGACTGAGGTCCAACGTGCCTGGATGTATTTAGAGCCTTGGTTCTGGGCCAGGAGGGAGCTTGTCTTTTTCTCCCGGTGCTAACAGGAACGGTTCGGGCTCAAAACACCAAAATTCTCTTGTAGAATTTGGGGTTCGAAGATGTTTCAGATGGAGAAGATGGACAGTCGGACAATTCCATTGTGAAATTATGCCCATGTTGAGGGATATACAGTACCCTCTGGTAAACTAACATAACTATGCAAAATCACAATTTTTAATGGGTAAATCACCTGTAAATGGGCCATTTTCAATAGCTATGTTAAATTACCAGATGGTAACACCGCCAGGCAATTCTAATGACCATGGCAGTGCACTGAGGAAAGCATTTTTTCAGCCGAGGACAGGGGGCAGGTGGCAGGGATGGGGATGCGGTGGTACAAGGAGACCCGGTTCTGTTTCTTTCTTCCACCAAAGAGCATCCACAGGATTTATGGTTGTTTTGAATCCGTTTTCTATCCTTACCTGGCATGATGCTTTGTATATATATATATACATTTTCAGGAGAGTGGCTCAATTTGGGGCGCGTTTGGCATATTTTTATCCCGCAGGACCAAGGTATTTTCAAAAAATGAGGTAACTCTGAAATTGGTGGCTGAATGACTTACTCTTTCAGCGATAAGTGTATAACCATCAGACCCTGCTGAACAAAGTCACATTGCTACTGTTGTTATTATTATTGTTGTTGTTGCTGTTGCTGTTGCTGCAATAGGATGCAATACATGTGTGTGTATATAATATATATATATATTATAGATTCATCCTGTTGGGATCGCAGTGATTTTTCCAAAAACGGGCACCCGTCATGCAGGACATTCAACGTCAACTTCCGGCAGAGAGCGCCAAGTTCAAGACGGTGGACAAGTCGGGAGACCGGGGAGTGTGGGAGATGGCACTTGGGTTAGTGACATCTGCATCGAGGGACAAAACATGACAAAAACATGAAACATCCAGAGAAACTCCATGAGTTTTGAAGAGGAGGAGCATTTAGTGATGTTCTTTAGGAACATTTTGACAACAGAACTCTATGTTGGAAGTCGCAAAGATCTGTTCTGCATATGCTGGTCTGGTTGAGGTTTTAAGGTGCCCAAGTCTAGAAGGCTGGGATCAGAGGCCATGGCAGATCCAGATCGATATGCCTTGGTGGTGTGTGTCTCTGACTATGATCACATGAAGAACCTCCCTGGTGCTAAATCTGACCGCGGGCGCATCATTCAGCAGCTGGAGAGCTTGAGGTTTCAGGTGTCGTCACCTCCTACAGACCGTGTAACCAGGAAGGAGTTAGAGGATGCTGTGAAGGAGTTTCTGCAGAAAATTGCAAAGGCAGCGCTTCTGCAACCTTGGCTCATTGTCTTTGTCTGGTTTGCAGGGCATGGTCTGCAAGAGGAATGTGACCACTATCCGTACTTGATGGCTTCCGACTCCCATCCCATAGCTGCTGAGTGTTTTGGAACACGGAACAATTTGATCTGTTCGCTCAACAGCGTCGTTGCAGTACCGCCCGGGAGGTTGCGTGTGGCATCTGTCTTTGAGTGCTGCAGAGAAAATCCTCAGGACTTGTGCTTCAGCAGAGGCCCAGGCCATCGGAAACTGTTTCGCCGCTTGCGAAATGACTTTTACACCATTTTTGCTTGTGACCCTGGTAAGAAGGCATGTGAAACAGAGCAGGGAGGGGTGCTGGCTGAGCAGCTCCTTCTTTTGCTGCCATATGAAGCCCGCATCTCGCAGATATTCTATGAGGCGGCACGGCGTGTGGGGCATCAAAGGGCGTGGGTTGAAGCTAGGCCGGGCGATTTCGAACCTGTCTTGGGCGATCGTCCCGGAGACTTTCCGGTCTTGCTGGGACACACAGATGGATCAAAAACAGAGGCGCCACAAGTCTTGGGACTCCCAAATGATGACCTTTCGCCTATGTCCGGCCCTTCTGAAGCAGGCAGCTTCTCAGATTTCGACATTTTCCGTTTGTACTGGTTGCCTGCATTGACACTACTTGTGCTTCTGATTCACGGTCTCTTGCTGCTGTTGTGGCTCTGCGACCTGGTGGAGAAACGCTATGTAACCCGCCTGGCGATCATGCCGGTGCTGTCCATTTTTGGCACAGCGCAGATACTGCAAGGACCCGATGGGGATGACGTACCGGCGCACTGTGGATCAGCCACTTTTCGTCGCTTGCGGCCTCTGTGGTGTCTTTTGGACAAGTATTCCATGAATGGTCACGGTGCTGGTTGTTTCTTCTTGCTGGCTTTTGGTGAAATCACCAAAGAGAACGACTGGGTTGCTGCAGCAGTGAGCTGCGTTCTGGCTACCATCTCTATTGGTATCAATGATAAAAATTGCCGAATGTTCTCAAGCCTTCGGGAGAGATCAAGCGACAGCTCTCACAGACGCAACGGACGACTGTGGCTATGTCTTTGCATCATGTCTGGTATCTTTGCACTCAGGGGTCGTGACGCATTGCTTTCAGGTGCAGATTCAGCAGGGCACGAGGTAGAAGCCAACTTTCATTTTTTTCTGCTCGTCTATCTCGGAGCCAAGTACATGTCATTTTTTCATGACTCTGATCCAGCGCTTTCTGGGTGCAGCAACAGTTCCAGTCAGGGTGTCTGTACATACATGCTGGTGCCGTTGTTAGCAATCAGTAATCCTTTGATACAGTCCATTTGCCAATCAGCAAAGTTTGACATCTCATGGAGTTGGCAAATTTGGCTTCTGGTGGAATACAGCGGGCTGTTTTTTGTGGTCGCAGTTTGTTACAAATTCAGGCAGGCGCAAGCTGAAACAACGCCGGCTGACGAGCAAACATGAGTCATGCTTGGAGGCATTTGAAGCACAGTTTGATTTGCAAAAGTGCGGCGCCGCTGCTTTTTTACCGGCTGTATGGGAATACACCCACGCCCAAGAGGGTTGCGCTCTTTCACCAGGGTCCAGTTGATGTGTATGTGGGGTTCTGCTGGAGCATTTGCAGTGCTGGATGTCAGGCACATGTCAATGTTGGTACTTCTCAAAATCCAAGGGCCCTAGTAGGTGTCCATGCAGGAGCCAAAGCCAGCTGCTTCCCATGGGTTGGAACCCCCCCACTACCAGATACCCCTGCATTGTGTCCGATGAGTTCAACTAAGGATGTGGAAAGATTGGTTCAAGAAGGCCCAGTGGCCCTGGATTGGGGGTGTTGTCCATCAAGCATGGACAGTCTATTCCTGGAGCTGAGTGTGGTCACAGGGGTCAATGAGCCCCATAAAAGTGGCACATTAGGGACAATCATTATAATTCATCATACAACCATATATAAAACCATATAAAACCATCATAAAACCATCATAAAACCATAATAAAACCATCATAAAACCATCATAAAACCATCATAAAACCATCATAAAACCATCATAAAACCATCATAAAACCATCATAAAACCATCATAAAACCATCATAAAACCATCATAAAACAATCATAAAACCATCATAAAACCATCATAAAACCATCATAAAACCATCATAAAACCATCATAAAACCATCATAAAACCATTGGATTTTGAACACCTCTGAGGTGCGTCAGTCCTACCACAAGGCCATGGAAGCGTAGCGGATGCCCAGATTTTCCCAACGAAATCTCGGCGCCCTGCTGGGAGTTCGCAACGTTTGAGTACCGAAGATGGTGGATTTTCCATAGGATTCTCCACCTTTTTGTTATATCACTGGAGGGTACTACTGGATTTTTGATTATAGCAAAAATAGATGGTTTTCCATATTTACTATTAGATGCTGGATTTTCATGGTAACGTAAAGTGATTGATAAAGCCACCCGAGTGTATCACAGTGGTAATTGGGGGGATTTTCATGGGATTTTCTGGTCAGATTTGTCAGCATCTGGGAGCCCCATGAAGTACAACCTGATGGTTTACTTCATCCCGGGTGACATTACTTGGATGGTCTACTGCATGATTTGGATGGTCTGTCGCGTCGGATTCAAGGGGCCATCACTGTCACTGGTCTTTCTAGGTGTGTTGCAGACCTTGAGAAGAAAATACATGCTTCCCCCTCCCAAGTCTTAAAAGTATATGATGTTTCGGTAGCCTGTTCGGGCAAGATCTGATTTGTATTTCTTTTGGTGAACTCATTTTGTTGATGATTCATTGCATGTCTGTCAAATTGTTGCTCTCGTCCGATCTTTATCGCTTCCCCCATGGTTTTTCATTTTAAAGGTTCTGATGAAATTTTGCCAAGCCGACCAAGTTCATCTCATTCTACTCTACATATCTCTACATGGGGTATGGGTTGGGTCATTCCTGCTGTTCATGTTGTGGTTCACCCTGGGGTGAAATGACCAAACCACGATAGGTTCAGCGGCCAAGGCTTCACATCCCAAAGCTCCTGGAGGGCACCGGATCTCAGGGATCTCAGGGTGAAAGCCTTCATGGGTTTGTCACGAAGGGATGCACCCAAAAGACCATGGAATTTGAACTTGCAAAACATATAGACATATATAGAGACATATATAGAATTGTGATAAGCCACGTTTTTTTTCTTTAATAGCCAATTTTCAACCAAATTCCCGTATCTTTGGTCAACCTGCAGCCAAGTTTTGAGCTCAAGCCGTGGGCTTTGGGCAGTTGGTGATCGGCGGACCTGTTGTGGCTTCAGCCGTTGGGTGAGACGGGTCACCTGGGGACCTGGCCGTCTTTTTGGGATGGACCTTTGGGAAATGTAAGAAATTCACTTTCTCCAACACATAGCCTCTGGTTATGTCAAAATAGCTACTGAAAATGGCCATTTATAGTGGATTTACCCATTAAACATGGTGATTTTCCATAGTTTTTTGTATGTTTACCAGAGGGTAGCCTCTGGCAATCCAACGTGGCGAGCTGGAACCGAACAAAAAATAGAGGTTTTTTGGGGAATTCCAATGGGGAAATCATCAAATGGTGGACTTTCCAAGGTAATTTTCCACTTGGACATGTTTGGAAAATAGGTATAGGGGCAGCTCTAAGACTCTAAGATTGAGGAGACACCTGGACCTCCTGAGGCGCCATGTCGATGCAAAGTTGGGACCTCAGCGCGGCAACCTTTTTGCTTTTACCTTTGTACATCATAAGATGTCAATTTTTCTAGTCGATATGCAGGCATACCCTCTGGTAAACTAACAGAACTATGGAAAATCACCATTTTCACTGGGTAAATGCACTATAAATGGCCATTTTCAATAGCTATGTTAAATTACCAGAGGTAACAAATATCATCAAATGTGGATATAGTATCTTCCGATGTTTTCTTAGATGCCAGAACCTTGCCATTTGATGCGAGCCAGCACAGACCAAACTTACAGACATTTGTGACCGGTTGTGTTTGGATGAAGCCTCAGGCACATGATATTGGACTGAATTTGGCTTGCCAAATTGATATAACCACTATTAATAAACATTAATGCTATAGTGGTTAATAGTGGTTAACTGATTTTGCATTCCCAGTAGCTCTAATGGCGCTCCGATGGTGTCGCGTTCTATTCGAGGGTCAATTTTTCAACCCAAATGCGGGCATCGGGCATGTAACTGCATATGCCAGTGGATTTGTGCAGATCCCTCAGTCTCTCTAAGTGATGTGTTTGAGTTTTCCAACATTCCCATATATGGTTTTATATGGTTTTATGATGGTTATATATGGTTATATATGATCCATTTTCCAACTCACTTCCCAACGTTCCTTTTTTAGCCCATCACCCTGGTGGAAGTGGAAATCGTGCTCTGAAAATCAGGTGGAAGCTTCAGATTTTTGAACCTCATCAAGCCGGTGATGTGTGTTTTGCCGGAAGTGGAAGCTCCAGACCGCCGTATTCCGTTCAAGGAGAAGGTGTTGTCGCTTGCTGGCAGGACAACGAACAGGTAACAAGGGTTAGTCTGTTTCTTCAGTTGTTCAATTGGAGGTTTCCTAAAATGGTGATACCCCAAATCATTCAAAATGAGTCCATTTTGGTCTTGAAATCCGTGGTGACTTGGGGATCCCATTTTGGGAAGCCCTTCACATGTCTAATTTCTATGCACAGAGGCCTTGCATGTGGGACACCCCAATATCCAATGGCTTGCCCATTGCTTGAGTCATCTCCGCCTAGGTGGACCTCCATCAGTCTCTTCGTCTTCTTAGTGTGTTGCCAGATTCCTCTCTATGGTGTCCTCACCTCCAAGAGTCTCTCGGCATTTTTTTCGTCACGAAAAGGGAATATTTTTGTTGGTGATCCCTGGTTTTGTTGTGATGTTTCCCATCTGAAGACATGTTTTCTGAAAGAAGCCTTGTTGGAAGCTTCTCTCCTGGCGAAAAGACTGGTAATATCTGGGAATGCTAACATATGCGTACCTTCGTGGCATCCAAGATTTGTCCGTTTGTTTTAGCCTGAGTGGCTCTGGCATGAGGGTTGTTGGTGACAGACGAAAAGCTCCAAGTACCCGACAGCCTTCGAGGTTCAGATCCGTTCTACTGGATGCGAGTGATCTTAGCCTCCAACCGAGGGACCCTGATGGAGTTGCTTGGGCCAAGGGTTGGGCCGATGTGGGGAATGTTGAGCCCGAAGCAGTGGATGTAACCCAAATGGCTGTTCATGTCCCATGATATTCTTACACCACTTTGAGCGTGTGGACTTGGCTTGTTGGTCGGTGGAACACTGAGGCTGGGTATCTCTCCGATCATCACATCTGGCATGGCAACTTGGATTCCTGTGAGGTTGGATCTGATAGGTAAATCAAGAGGGGTAAAGTGGTGATCAAAGGAAGTTTAGTTAGAAAACTTCCGGGTTTCGGACGATGGTCATGGTTGGCATTCACACCATCATGTCAACCGCGTCATCATGTCAACCACATCATCATGTCGACCACCCATCATCAAGTAGTTGGGAAGTGTAAGAGCTCGGAAACGTGTGAATTCACGGGTGAAAACACTCTTGGGCGCGAAACCCTGTGTTTTTTGGGGTCATGTGGCTCCTGGGGTCGCCGAAGTAGGGTCTCTGTTTCCGCGGTTCCAGGCCTCGATCTGGGAAAGTTGTTGACAAAAAGTGCACGAGATTGTAGCGAGAGCTCGATTTGCAATTCAACATGTTAAAAAACACATCAGGTTTGAAGTACTTTTGGAAGACGAGGTTGGAAAAATGTGCACGAGACTGTAGCGAGAGCTCGGCTTCCGAAAATAAATCGTAAAAAAAATGAGGGGATCGGAGCAGTCCCAAAAAGTCTACACTGTTGACGCTGCGCAACTGCTTGTCGATTTGGTGCAAGGCTCCTGCGACGCGGGTTTGCAGTTGCCCGTGACAATACGCATTGGCACGGCTGCGCGCAGCAAAGATTCAGTGATGCTGCGATGCTCCTGGCAAGCGGGATTGCTGCTGGAGATTGCTAAACGCATTGTAACAGCTGCGCGAAGAGAAGACTTGGGTTGCAGAAGCTACAGAAAAGCTAGCTGGGAGGGAGCTCAGGAGTAAGGTCAGAGGAGAAGTAGCGCAGATAAGAGGCTGCTCAGAGAAGTAGTAGCTGAGAGAAGAGGTGCCTCAGCGAATAGGTCGCTCAGTGAAGAGGTAGCTCAGCAAAGAAGTAGCTCACTCATCCATCCATTCAGTCATCCATCCGTTCATTCATTGATCAATCGACGCATTGGTTCATTATAATTATATAGCTGATTTATTCTTTGACTTACTGATTCATATATTCACTGAGTCACTCTTTCATGGACTCTCATTCATTGATGCGCTGATTCACTGATTCATTGACTCTTTGGTTCATAGACTCACCACCACTCATTGATTAGTTGATTCGTTGGCTCAATGATTCACCGAGTCATCGGTTCATTGACTCAGTGACTCACTGATTCATTGAGTCACAGACTCACTAACTCACCAATTCATTGACCCACTGATTATTGACTCATCCACTCCTCACTTCACGATCTATCGAAATTCACTCATTCACTGATTCACTGAATCATGGATTCATGGATCGATGCATTGGTTCACTGAATCTTTGTTTCGTTGATTCACTGATTCATCGATTCATTAACTTCTCATTCATTGACTCATGGATTCATTGTGTCATTGGTCCATTCGGTCAGTTGTGCATGGATTCTTTCATGTCATTTCAGCGGCATCTCAACCGCCATTTGATTATTCGTTGATGCACATCACTTTCTTATATATAGCCAGTTCATTTTTTTTGACACTTCGGCCCTGGCATGGGGCGGCCACTATCTTGTAATTTTATCCACTTATTTAGTAGCATTGTTTCCTTTAATTATATCAGGGCTGTTGGGAGCAACCCTGATAGTAAAAATCGTGGGGTGATCCCATGCTCCTACAAGGCCACCGTTTTAAAGGGTTTATACCTGGTACCCTCTGGTAAACATACAAAAAACTATGGAAAATCACCAATTTTAATGGGAAAATCAACTATTTCAATGGCCATTTTCAATAGCTATGTTGAATTACCAGAGGGTAAATGGTGAACTGCATTCTGCTGCATTTCCCCCTAGCTCGCGCCCCATTTTCTGGTCACAACCTGTTGGATTGCCGGAATTGCAGTTGTGATGTGATTTGCAGCATTTATGACACTCCATGTATGTGCAAAAATATATGATATCGACACATTACTACAAGATGCATTCTTTTTTTGTGACAAACAGCAAATTGCAGGGTATCACAAATGACACATCCATGAGACTGTTTCGCTGCCTTGCTGGTGACCATGAGGTAATGCAGCTCTTAGCTGGAAGTAGGCCGGCGGGGTGAAGGGCGATGGGGACGTAAATGCTGAAAGGCTCTAGGGCCCTGAAAACTCAGGGATTTTACTGGTTTTTGGTAGTGAAAACTTCAAATTATATTATATCTATATTGTATATATATATATTTCTATTTTTTGTCCTCAATTGGTGACCGATACTGCAATGGCAGTGAGTCCAAGTTCAAGACACAGCCGCAAAAGTTTGACATACGTCTGACACTGTTGGTACTAAGCCATCCAAGTTGCGGTACAGAGATGGAACCAAGTTCGACCGACGCCCAGATGAGTGACAGTGGCTGGATGCGTTAAGAACTATTGATTGAAACCAGGGTGTCAGGGAGATTTGTTCCAAAAATCTGAGACAGCCTGAACACGCTGTTGATGATTTCACATATCTGGCATCAACCGATCGTTGGAGTTATGCTATTTACAAAGCTGGTACTGGTGGAGCACATCATTTTCTGCAGCCGAAGTCTTGGAGATCAATGGATTGATGGGAGATTTGACAGAAAACCATCATGTTCACCACCAAATAGAGGAGGAAAGCCTTGTAAATGTTCCCTTCAACCAAAATGCTATGAAGAGACGATGAAACGCATATTTTTTTTTTGATCCCTAAAAACCGTCACCCAATTTTCAGACATTCCAATGCGTTCCCTGCGACGCTGTAGCGTTTCCTGGACAGGATCATTGATGTGGATCAGACGCTGAAGGAGGATCGCGCCCTGTTTCATGGCGCACAGAAGTTGTGCCTCGGCGACTTTGAAAGACTCTGGTAATTGGCTCGGCTCTGGTTGGGCCATATCGACAAGGATAAAGATATACTGTAAATAAATAAGTGTATATATATATATTGTTATTATATATATATACACATCATATCACATCTAGTACCCAGCTCGTTTTTTCTTTTTTCGCGGAGAGCATCTAAGTGTAGCAGCAGTTGGAAAGAGCTCCCCCCAACATTGGCTGATTTACTGTATATATATATATATGTCTATCAGTCAACCGAAAAATGATAATGTAGCCATGGAGTACCAACTGGGCAGACTATCAATGGAATGACAATATATGAAAACATCCAATAGCTCCCAACAGACCTCCCTTGTCTACCAAGGTTCGGAATGCTGATCACCATGGGAGAGGCCTTGGGGCATGCATGAAATTGAACACAATGAGAAGTTTCACAGCGCTTTGTTTATTTATTTTATTTTACTATTTTTTCGTTTTCACTTTGTTTTCAAAGCATAGTCAGGCGATGCTCCCAAAAAACATTCGAACAAATCGATCACTGCCCCACTGGTAATTGATCATGAAAAATGCACTGGTAATTGATCATGAAAAATGGACTTGTCCTACCAAGCTTCACCTAGAGTCCGAATCCATAGGGGATGAGTTTGCTTCGTCTACCAGTCTACCAGTCTACGCGATTTTGATGCCCAGGCCGTGGCCTACGTCATGAGCGGCATGTATGGCAGCCTTCGTGAGATTGGCCGCTTGGGCGCCAGCGGAAGCAGCGGGCAATGCTGGGCCATGGTCAAAAATGCGGTTAGAATGAAAGGAGTTAGGATATGATGGGGAGTTAATGGAAATATTCTTGACCACTTGACCACGATATTATTACCCTACAATATCCTACATATATATATATATATATACACATATATATATATATTATATACACACATACAAGGTGATAAAAACCACCCCCTAGACATTTGTATTCCTCGCATGACCATCCTTCAACTGATGCATGTGTGTATATATATATATACATAGGGATATAGATCCACGAGGATGGTCATAACTGTCTATGACTAGGGGTTTATGAACCAAGCTACACAAGAGAATCCCTAAAGATTCTCTTCAATGACCATCCCAATCCTCACGCCATGTGACCCGGCGGCGAATCTCCGAGGGGCAACCTGTGCCATTTTGATCATTATGCAGCTCTTCTTCGCGGGAATTGTGGTGATCTTGTTGGATGTGGCTTGGAAGGCGATTGGAGGAGCTGGCTGCGGGTCGGGTTGGCCCGGAAAGCCACCTGGTTTCACATCCGGATTTTCACATCTTGAATAGGGCAGAATGTTGGGGTCTGAATGCTTACGATTGTGATCTTCACGTTTACTGATGGGCCTCTTTGCACTCTAAATGTCAAGAGATTTCAGGGAAACTCCTCCCGTGCTCTCCACTTGCGGGTTGTTTCCATTTTGACCTGGTACTTCTAGGAGCAACGTTCGAAATTTCGAAACATTTGTGGCGGTCCAGCCAGAGCGATCTACCCCGACCGACCAAGGAACTCATGCAGAAGGGATATGGAATCGGCTCCGGGATCTCCTTGTTCATTGCCACCAACATCTGCGAGAGACGCTTGGATCGCTATCTCAGAAAAATGAAGAGATGGCCATGGAAATGAACAACGGGAAGCAAAGACTCGGAACCGTATAGGCAAGTTCATTACGGACAATGTTGAGACAGTCATTTTTTATGTGGGTTTGTATCTTCCCAACCCTTCTGGAAAACTCTTTCTGATTTCTCAACAGCATTCATGGCTTGTCCACCAAAGCCTGCCCAACTGGCGGCAGATTATTGGATGAACCATGCTATATACTGTATAATTATATAATTAATTGACTAGATAATTAATTAATTAATTAATTAATTAATTCATTGAATTATTAAGTTAATTAAGTACTCATTCAAAAGTGCTGTGCAAGCATGGGTGTTTGAAAACGGGGATACCCACTTTAGTGACTAAAAAAGCGGGGAAATGATTAGTCAACTGCCGAGCGCCTTGCCGGCAATGAAACGACCTCGAAAAAAATGGGTTGTGACTTCAGTGAAGAGCATGGCTACTGTAGAAGCTAGTGAAGCCAGTAGGGTTGTTCTGTCAGAGTGACTTGAAGATTTCGAGCATAGAAGTGCTCTGAATCTACACGGCATGTGGAGGTTGGAAACAGTAAAAAATCCACAAAAGACGCGGAGTGCTGTGCTACCCATTCATTCTAGAGGCATTTTCAACTTTGGCCATTGTGCTTTCCACTTGGGCACTCCTGGGCCATTGTAACATCCAGATGATACTGTCTCTTTTGGCTGAACCAGTCTTTAGGGGGAGAGTTGCACAAACTAGAAATGGCTTCCCTGTGCATACCCAAGTTTGATACATACTTCCCTTTTCACCCATATCTGGGATGATGATGCAGCAACTTCCCTGTTGAGTGTGGGTACTCACATACCTCCTGGCAATCAAACAGGGTTTAGTGGAGCATTTTGACACTGTAGACGATTTTCCTACAGTTGGTGGTGGATAAGATGAATCTTCCTTTCCGCATGCTGCACTTCCGGAAGGCAAGCTTCAAACAGCTCATGAGTCACGAGTCCAACAGTACAGTTGAATAAATCTTTTAATTGGGGAATTCTCGGAAGCGGCGAGGGCTCCTCCTTCTCCTCCTCCTCCTCATCATCATCATCATCGTCGTCATCGTCATCATCATCATCATCATCATTATCATCATCATCGTCAGCATCATCATCATCATCGTCGTCGTCGTCGTCGTCATCGTCATCATAATAATAATAATAATCATCATCATCATCCTCGTCATCATCATCATCATCATCATCATCATCATCATTTATCATTGTCAATTGAAACAACTAACATTTACATATCCTCATTACCATTTTTCTACTACTAGATAGTCATGCTTTTTCCTTGGCGTTTCGGTCAGATGGCATCCTGGTGATCGTTGCAGGGACCATCTGGCCTAGAGCAAGAGCACCATATTTGCCGCATGCATAAGCTGTTGCGCTGCTGTCTGACTAGCTGTGAATCGCTGCGCGTGGCCACATCTTGACTGTTGAGACATTGACTGTGACAGCGACCATGGTTCCACACCTCACTTGACCTTCAAAGTTTCTGGCGACATTAGACCTCCATGAGGGTCATGGCGCGGCTCCATCAAAGCTCGAGCGCTGAAAAGCGGCAGTCCAGCGCCTATCAAAGTTTTAATTTCAACTGCTGAGAATTTGTAGGGCCCCCTAAATTCCTAAGGTGGCAAGAATAAGGTGTAAGCCCAAAGTATAGTTGGGATTGGCGGGGCCAAGCCCTTCAACTTCTTATGCGGCTTATGCGTCGTGCTCGTGCATGGGCCCGGCGTTGGCCGCTGGCGCACCCCACAGGTTTCAGCAGTCATCCCCATTTTTGCTGTGATGTTTTTTTTTTTGCTTGCCAAGGCATCATTTGGAAGGCCTTGCGCGCACCGGTCGACTGGATTTGATACTTGCAACATGTTCACAGCAGTGGGCGCAGCCGCTCCCATTTTTTTCCTTGAGTTATTTGCGGATGTGAGCCAGGCCTTTTCTCCTACCACCATGAACACAGGGAAAGGTAACTTGGCTATTTCAACATGCCTCTCCCGTACCCACACAATCAAATTTTTAAGCATGTGTTGTTGGTAGTTCTTCTTGCAACCCAAAACATCGGTATTTTCTAGGGCCTTTAGTCTTGACCCGCGCCTGTAAAGACCAGTTTAAGAGGGCTTGAGCAGAGTGTTGGGTACCCTGAGCTAGGCAAATGTTGCAAACATGCAGCAGGAAAAAGGTAGATACACATATAAAAGCATATATATATGTATATATTCATATAGATGCATATGTGTGTATCCCTGTACATATTACACATGTATGCATGCGTGAAAACATATTCACATATGCATACATAAATGCGCCTTGACACATACATACATACATACCTACCTACCTGCATGCCTGCATGCATGCATGCATGCATACGTACACACATGCACATACACAGATACATACACATATACATACACATAGACATAGACATACACATATACATGTACATATGCATATACATATACATATACCATGTACATATACATATATGTATATACATATTCATATTCAGATATACATTTGCATATATACGTATAAATTCGTCTAAACCATTGTTTGTACACAATTACATACGTACGCACACGCAAATGCATGCATACCAATAAAATACACGCATATAAATATATAAGTACATGTGCGTTACATTTCCATGTTTATATACGTATACATGTACATATACATCCACATACAAGTAAACTTGTACCGATAGATGCACATACGCATACGCATACGCAAATACATGCACATACGCATGCACATACAAAGACACACACAAACACACACACATACACATACACATATACATACGTAGGTACGTACATACATACGTACATGCATTTGGACATACATATAGACATCTGCACATACATATATACATGCACAAATACAAATATACATGCATGCATACATACATAGATGAGAAGACAGGCAGGCTGGCAGACAGACAGACTGACTGACTGACTGGCTGACTGACTGACTGACAGACAAACAGATACATCGATACATCGATGCATAGATACATAGACACATAGATACATAGATACATAGATGCAAAGGTACATAGGTACATAGATGCATAGATACATAGATACATAGATGCATAGATACATCGATACACGCATCCACGCATCCACGCATCCACGCATCCACGCATCCACGCATCCACGCATCCACGCATCCATGCATCCATCCATCCATCCATCCATCCATCCATCCATCCATCCGTGCAAACACAATGAACCGCGTTTGAAAACTGTGGTAAAATGTTGGTTTTAGTCGAGGGGTCATGGTTGAGACGGCAACCTCCTCTATATATATATTTACCCACCTGCAATACATATATTTGAAACCCTCCATTTCCCCAAAGGGCCCTTTTTGATCGTGCGGGTGTGGTGCGGGTTGATTTTGCAACAATGCCCAAATCTTGCTTCATTGCAACCCAGTGTATAGTTGTAAAAACCTTCATGTGTTTCTGAATGTTCTGACTCTAAAATTGGAACCAAACACGTTTGTTTTTTTTGTGCAACTGCCTCAATCCCCCCAATTCGTGTGGGAATCAGCAAAATATTTGCCAATTTGTTTGCTGTTTGTGATATGACTAGATGACTTGTACAAGTTGCCACGTCGCACATATTCTTTCCAATCCGGCCAAATTTCAGCATTGGCATACCTCAAGATTTAGGGCCCCACATATCCGCCAAAAAAATTGGGGTCCGTCCGGTGACAACATACCCAGCTTGACGGTCAAGAGGAACATGTTTGTTTGATTCATCATGTTCTTTTTGTGATTCATCATTATGGTTGCAACCGATTGCATGCGGGGATGGGTGCAAATTTGGAACCCGGGAAACCCCACAGATTTGGACGCGACAAGATGGCAACTGATTCGTATCCATGGAGTTCACCTCAGTTGAGCCAACTAAACCGACAGAAACCCATCGTTTGCGCCTTCCTGGTAGTTGGTTTCTGGATCCCACGTGAGGTACTGAGTTTGAAGGTGCCATTGTCGCCACGTTCCACTTCATGGCGTCCAGGTGAGCCATCCGAACGGATGATTTGGATGGATTTTCGGATCTTAGTTTTCGATGTTTCAATGATTTCTAGGATTTTCTAGCTGATTTGAACTGATTTGAGATGATTCCAAATCATCTTTTAGCAATTTGCTCCAGATCTTTCCCATCCCTCGTCGATCCTCAACCAACTAGCTGCGCTGTGCCAGGAGCGACAAACTCATCGCCTTGAAAGAAGCCTTCTATCGCCAATCGGCCCCGAACCTCACGAACCTCTTTGCCACGGTGCGCCAAGTAAAGCCGGAAAGGGGATGGCCTTCAGTGAGCTTAATTTACCCACGTTGAGGCTACCATTGCCATCGGATGAGTAAAGCCCTGATACCATGTTTTGACCATTGCAACTCTGATAGTGCAGGAGAAAGCTGGAATTTGGAAGTAGCAGATACACCAAATGTATCCAAATGTACAGTACATTACAGTGTTTTAAGCTTCCGTCATACTTGTTGAATGGCTGTGGGACAACCTCAAATCCTGGCTGTATACATCCATACATCCACCTACGATAGATGCATAGATCCATAGATCGATCCATCCCGTCCCATCCCCATCCCCATCCATCCATATACATGTGTGTACACGCACATGTGTATATGCGTAAAGATATGTGTATTTACATGTATCTGTGTTGGTATACAATGATGTATACGTACAAGTGTTTTATGCATGTATATGTGTACATGTATGTGCAGGTGTATGTTTAAATACAGCGTACCTATATATGAATCAGGGTTAGGGAAGCATCGGCAATGTGCTGCAGAGTGGCAGGTCTTGGTCTTCTTCGTGGTTATCTATTTCCAAGGTGCTGGATTGGACATGAGGATCAGAATACTGTAGGACATCCCTCTCGCCAAATTGAAGTCCATTGTGACTCATGCCGCAAGAGGCCACGAAACCTGACAGGTTTCAAAGTGGACTTACCTGTGAAGTATCAGAAGGTTCGTGGACAGCAGGTCGGACTGGCTTTCCAACAGATGGTCCGCATGTCAGAAAGGATGCTAAACCGCATCTTGGTTGTGGGAAATCCTGCTTTAAACTTATTTCATATTAATGTTCACTCAGGAACCACAATTTTACAGGGATTTCGTCGAATCGTTGAAGCCTTCGTATGTTTTTTTCGCGAGTCCCATGTGGCCAAGGTTAGGCATCAAAACTCGCGCGCCAGGGTTCCTATCCCATCAAGCTCTTCTACACCTCCAACATTCCCATCATCCTGTGCCTTGGACGACGGATCCGGATCCGACGGATCCGAGGGTCCCGGAGATCGCGATTCCGACCAAGGCAGACGGCACTGGTGTCCAACCTGTACTTCTTGTCGCAGTTGCTCTACAGGCAAAATGGTTTCGTTGAAGGGGAAGATGTTTCGGACATATGGGAGATGTAGGATATATACATTGAGATTGGGAAATCACAAACAATCATGGCCATATATGATAAGATATGGGGATATTTATCGACAATACTATCTGTGTGTGATTAACCCCCAATCTATGTGGCAGTTCTGATTGGAACATTTTGTCAAAACCATGGGATGGAACAGATGGAACGGGGTACCCTTTTTCCTGACAAAACCAAGGGTATCATTCTCAGCAGAGTGTATCTGAAAAATCCAAGGCAAAAAACTGGAAGTTCTGCGGAACACGGGACTATTGTTGAGACTTTGCCTTTTGGCGCCATATAATCTGGTTGGTGGTTTGTAACATTTGGATTATTTTTCCCATCATCTTGGGATTTTCATCATCCCAACTGACGAACTCCATCATTTTTTTGAGGGGTAGGTCAACCACCAACCAGATATAGTTGGTTTATTATTGTTTTGCCAACATAAAACCATAAAGAACCACCATTAACCACTATTAACCTTGGGTAAAATATGAATAAACCAACTAGTAATTGTGTGGTCTTGGGGTTTCAGGAAGCCTTGGGCCCCTGGCACCTACCACCAGGCGCTTCAAGTCCAACATGCTGGTAAACCTGCTGGGTCAGTGGCAGGCGCGGTGATGGCTGGGAATTCTGCACGGTGGCTTTGTCTGAAAATATCGTACACTCACATCCCATGGTTTTAGAACATCATAATCATTATTATTGTTGTTGTTATCATTATTATTACTATACTACTATTATAAATTATAACTACTACTACTACTACTAATAATAATAACAATAATAATAATAATTATTATTTTTATATTTCAGATCATATTCCCCATTTTTTGATTTCCAGTTTTGGGTATCCCGGTCTCCCCCATTTTGGGACATGGGATTTCGCTCACCACCAGGAAGCAGATTTCGGTGGCCAGTCTATCCCAGTGGGCGGCTTTGCATACTACATCTCTCCGCCCAACAGCGTGCCTTGGCTCCCGGCCACCCACCAGGGTGGCAATTTTCCAATGGTGAGGACTACACCACCACGAAACGTGGAGTTTTCCAATGGTAAACTAGATCTGCAGTACCTTTCTCAATATCATATATATATATATATATATATGTCCATATTTTTGTGATATGTCTACATACGTTTACATGTACACAACATACATCCATATGATATTGGTATATCTGCACAGACATATGGCGATCACTTTTGAACCGGACACAAATGCTTGTCGCTACGAAAGATTCGGATACTTCCTGTACCTGTCCATGTATCCAAGGGCCAAGCTCGATCAAGTCCATTGTAGCATCCGTCGAACTGGAATTGCTCTTCACTCTCAGGTTCAAAGCCCTTCAAGGTTTATATCTGACAGACGATACCATATGGATCCAAATGGGATGTCCATTATTTTTAACGAAAAGGGTAGGAAGCATGGCTGCTCAAGACATTCGGATCCAGCAGCCCCTTCTTGGTCAGGTCTCAAACATCTGGGAGGATCCGCTCCATGCGCGGTGCCCAAGGAACTCATGATCTCCGTTATGTTTCACTCAGCCCAGTACGTCCTGGACCCATCTGGACCCCAAGTGATGCAAGATCTATCCCCAACTGGACGACCTGGACGACCTGGCACCGATAAAGCATGAAAAGAAACCGCCATGGATCGTCCCGAGGCTCTGATTTACGTGTCCTTTGTGCTCATTTCCTGCGCTCTGTTCTCCAAGTTCTGGATTGAGGCGGAACGCACTGTCCATTTTGGGTCTGTCCGAAAATGGGGGGGATTCAACCCCAAGGTCCCAAGGTGGTCATTTTAAGAGGAACCATCAATTTGGGGTAGACGATTTTCAGATGGTCAACTTTGCGGTCGCTCGATGTTTCCACCCGACATTTATCACTGGGTATGACTTTTTGGTTTGTCAGGGAGCTTATCCCTTTGGGATCTTTGGGCAGCCAGCTCGGGTTTTTGGTAGACACATTTACATACTCCATGATCTCCATGTAGTTCAACGGGGAGCACACAAAAAATATCGCTTAAATTGGGCGAAGAACATCTGGACAGCGAGTGGATCAGGAGTTGGATCTTTTTTCAGGTTTTCTGACGGAGCTATAGAGGTCTCAATTTTTTTGTTTCCCCTTCAGAAGTTTCCCCATCGCAGTTTTCAGGTGTCCGGTTCATCTCCTCGAGATGTGGCGAAACAGCTGAGAGATAACTCCATGGTCTTCAAAGGTGCTGCTGCCCAGCTGGAAACGCGGCCACTGATTGGTTGAAGGACTTGAAAGTCTGAGGAGTCCCATTGGGCCATGGGCCTTGAAATCACCAGAAAACTCGGAGTAGCTGGCTGTTTGTAGTTTCTGGTGAGAGAATCAATGGGAGTTGCAGAAACTGCTCAGATTGCTCCGGAGAACTGTGGAAGGTAGGTAGATTGCCACTTTCAGGTGTTGCTTTGAGGCCTCCCGAGCGAGAGGTAAACCGGTCAACCGGTAAACCCGCCCCTTGAGATGGCCTGCCCCTGAGGTCACCGAGAAGAGTCTTTGTAGCGACCTCAAGTCAATCAGGGGTAACGTGTTCTTCTAATTTTACGAGATTCTCACGGTACTCATTGCTGTAGTACCAACGAACCAAGGGGTGTTTTGTTTTTGGGAACTCAGGCCGTGCTTGTTCAGCTTCCCGACAGCCAAGGTTGAAGGTACTTGACATGTATATCCCGACAGCTGCTGCCTTTGGAGGAATGTGCATCGGTCTGGGCCCCAGGTTGATGTGATATGGATGCTGGGCCGTGGAAGGCCTTAAAATTGATGAAGATGGCGGTGTTGCTTAAATCATTCTGGATGATCGATCCAGAATACCATTTTGTAATTGAGGAAGTCTACTTCAGAGTATGGTTTCGAAGGGGCGTATTTGATACCCCGGTTGGTGAATGCTGATATAGATTTGGGCAATTCTTCGTTGTAAACACGTTCCACCTAGAAAACTGGCATCTCCTGCGGATGTTGACAAAGGATGCTGCTTGGTCCTCGTTCCCACATCCGTGGCATCATCCCAGTAGACTCAGACCACCAAGCAGATTTGGTATTTCAGTGGACTCCGAGGCATGCTAACCATCATGGCGGATTTCTTGGGAGCCATTGGTTCTGGAACCGGTATTCTGCTGGCAGCCGCCCGTCAGATATCTCGATATGGGGGGGATGGAAAGGCCGCACTACGACCGACTGGAGAGCACGCTGAGGGTATTAACAAACGCGCCAGTGACACCGACTGGGGCGGAATCTTCCAAGCAAACTTGAGAGGCTGTTGAACAACTTACTGTAAGTACTGTAACTTAAAGCAAAGTTGATGCGTAGGGAAATGATGCTGGGTCCAAGTCACTCAAGACGGGCCAGTGATCAGCTGTTTCGGCCCTACTGTAGACCTTGGAATTGGGATATGGGGATGGGTCAAAAGTACTGGTGGAATCAACATCCACTAACCAGCTATGACCATCCGGGTACCATCCGGGTACCACCCGGGTACCAGGGTTTTGACTCATCGCCATATGGATCTTCCAGCAAAGATCTGGTAAATCGGACTTTGCCACAGATCTCCATCTCCGAGTCCATCTCTGGTTCACGTTGCGCCGTTTGAGGTGACCATTATCTACCAATACTTTGAGATGTTCTACAAGGTCACGGGTCACGTTTTGGGAGTTCAGCCCAAGTTGGGATCCACGGATGATGTTTACATTTTCCCATTTCGGGGCACCGCTAGGTATTTGACCATTGGTAAAACCTTGATTTGGCGACACGACTGAAATGGTCTTATCTTTATTGTCTGTATTGTTCTTATGATTGTAGCTATTTTCACTAATTTCTAGTAGTATCTCATTTCCTTAAGACTTTTAGTTGTCATGAGTTATCATCACTATCCGCATTCTCATTTTCATCATTATTGTGAATATTTGTTGGTGATCCGTTACCTATTGCTATCATTATGTTCGCTTTCTCGGGCCCAAACGTGTGGGCCAATTTGCAGTTTTCTGAACGTCCAGGAGAAGGAGCAAGGCAACATGCTCTTCTAATCTGCTCTTCACGTCCCTGTGGCAGTACTGGGGGGGGTTGAGCTTTGTGAAATGCTGCTTCAGAGACGTGAAATGATAAGACTGTTCGGTTCTTCAAATGCGTTTTTATTTTGCATCCCAACGAACTCACGATTTTTCTGAGGGGTTGAAACGATCAAATAAGAGCACGGCCGCCAAAGTGCAGGCAAGATGGGTGTCTACACCCAACCAAAGTGGGAGTAGAATGAACAAACTTTGGGAAGTAACAAAGAAAAACGGGGGGGGGGAGGGAATTATTCAATTGGAGGATTGCCACCGAGGGGGATGCAATCAAGACCAACCAATCAAAAGATACAAGTACTGGAACTTGAGAGCACATCTGGTGGGTGGGTCCCCATGGGTAGACAGACAAGGAAGGCAGCCAAAGATTGGCGTGTCTGAAAATTGGGTATAGCCACAACATGGTGATTTTTTCAGCAAAATTTTGGTGTACCCTATTAAAAACCAACTGATAGCAAGCATGATTATTGGTGAATCCCATGGTGATAATCATGGTCATTAATAATAATAATGATAATAAGAATAAACATGCTAATAATAATAAACATAATAATCATGGTAATCAGTAATCACCAGAATAACCCATTATTGATCATTCCCCAATGAATTTTGCTGTACCCTACTTCTTTCAGATGGAGCTGATGGTCTCATGTCAAGGCCAACTTCTTTGCGTGAATGTAGTGGGGCGTGGTGTTCTCGCGCCAGTGGAATTGAGTGAAAACAGCACTTTTTTGGGAGGTACAACCGGTACAACCGTGTGTAGATGTAGTTTCTAAGAATCGTTTCAAGTTTCAAGCATCATCTTTGTTTGTGGTTGTCTAGTTGACAAGTTTTGTTTTGGAAAGGATCTGAATCACATTGAAACAACTAGCAGTCAGAGTGCTGGACATTTCAGCGATCCTCGGCCGAAGATAAGCTTAAAACAGGCCGTGGCAAAGTGCCCGGCGGTAAAAGTGGAGATGGCTCTGCAGAAGTTAGCTGACTCCTATTGATTTTAGTCCTCCGCACTAAATTCACGACAGATCTTTGGGGTTCAAAGATGTACAGATCTGATTTTGGGGATGGTTCAGATCCCTACCCAATACCACTGAATGAAGCCAGATAGCTTCAAAATCACTGGGTGAGTTTTTGGCCGTCCCAACATGGAGGTTACATATCTTCCAAAAGATCTAGGGAAATCTGCCTTTCAAACATTCCAAGAGATTCCAAGACCTGGGATCTTTTTCTTCTTCTCCAACTTTTCTGGAAAGAATGAAGCAACACATCTCAGAAGGAGCTCAGAGCCGTGCTCCGGTCCGCGGAAATTGAGTCCCTCAGCCCTCACGATGGGACACCAAAATCGACGAGGGCCCCGGCGCAGCCGGCATTAGGAGAGCCAGGAGACGGATGCCCCGAGAACAGCACGGTATGGATTGATGAGTCGAGGATTTCTCTGAAAATCTGGTGTCATTGGAAGGTTTCCTAAAATGGGGGGGTACCCCGAAATCATCCAAATCAGACCATTTTGATCCATTTTGATATCGAAACCCATGGTTGGGGGATCCCCCACTAAAACAGAAACCCCCATTTGGTAAAGCCAATGCAAAAAAAACATAATTTAAGGAGATGAATTTTACCACTGATCAAACAATGGCAAGTCATTTGGGAAGGAGGTACCTCCAATGAGCTTTGGTTCACAAACAATATGCAACCATTTTATCCATGGATGTGAATGGTATATCAGATGCCAACCTGGGTTTGTCTGAAGATGGGCGACAGTCATTTTTTTCCATGGTGAATCATATAGTTTCATAACCTGAGATTCCAGAGCCTGGAGTTGCCAATTCCTTGGAATTGGCAACTAACATCATTTACATGATGAACATCTTAGCCATGTTATAGCCCTTAACAGGATATTAAAGGCATATCCATCAAATGCCTTAGCCGTTGGTTGCTGCATCCCATTCTTCGTTCTCCAAATCGCCGCCGGGTGGCCCTTGCGAGCACCAAACGAGCGCCCTCCAACCGGGGGTGGACAAAAATCCAACATGGGATGGGCGGCGATGTGCGGCTTGGTCAAATGATGAGTAAATTTCCAGCAAACGCTTCCTAAATGCCTTGTAAATGGTTGATAAGTGGTTGGTAAATTGTACATTGTGAAAAAAATGTTAGCAAATGGTTGGACGTGCACTCCAAGCTCGGTTGATTCTTGGCAAAACAATGGGCACACGACTACCCCCCAAAGCCGTTTAGTGAATGGATGATACTCCAGCTATCTGCATTTAGGCCAACTTCAGGCATCATTCCACTTAGTAACTGGCTAGTATTTGTGCTCAGCCAGATACATGGGGCAATGCCTGCTAGCGGATCAGCAACAGTGGTTCCTGTCCAGCCCATAGGCCCATAGGCTTCGGGTAGAGGTGTGGCTATGCCATGATGTCACTCCAATCCCTGCTGTTGGGCAGCTCTTCATGCCAAGATATTCACGTGAAATCGATGGTGTAAACCTCGGGTTAATTTATGTGGCGGTACCCCCAAATAGCGATAATCTGCTATTAAACTGGCACCATCCCCCCAACTAGACAGCCCGGGGGTGAATAAAAGTCCGGGGTTGCCATTACAAATCAATGGAAGAAAAGATCACACAAAAAGAATGTATAGATGATTTCCCTCTACCACCAAGACCATTTGGGCCTGTCTGAATACAGTGTAACCCCAAATTTGATGGTCAGGCAACATATACCTTACCTATGTAATTTTCAGACCCACGGACATATCATATTGATGGTTGTTATGTGAGTGTGTATATATATATATGTATATATATATATGTATTATCATCCTAGATTCTATCCTCAATATTATCATATTATGCATCCCTATTAAATTATATCCCATTAATTCCCAATGAATTGGATATATCAGGATACCTGTTTATTCAGAATTCATGGGATATCATAGGGACATCTTCCCGAATTCCCCACTTACACCTATACCCTCCAGTAATCAAACGTGGCTTGCTGGAAAATCCACTATTTACTTCGATTATTTTCCCGGCTGTAAGCTTGCATTTATATAGGAATTTACCAGCCAGCCATGTTTGATTACCAGAGGGTATCAAGGGTTAAATGAGGTAACATGTCAACCAATATATATCCCCGATATATATATATATATGTATATATGCCCCCCCCAGTATATATATATATCCCAAGATATAGATCAATTCCCCAAGATATTCCCCAATGTACACATGCATATATTAGCTATGAAACATCTTGTGGAAGATTTAAACCGCGCCGCTACGCGCCAAGGTTTGCGCAGTGCCAATGAAACCTTGGACCAGATCCAAAAGAGCCTCGAGGCGACTCTGCGGAGGGATATCCTGGGAAAAATCTTGGGATATCGTGAGGATATGAATGAGGATACCCTCTGGTAAACGTTTACATAGCTATGGAAAATCAAGATGTTTAATGGGTAATTCAACTATAAATGGCCATTTTCAATAGCTATGTAACAAATTACCAGAGGAGATACCATGAAAGTATGTACAAATCTTGGGATATCATGAGGATAATAATGGGAGAATGGATGCACATGGGGTCCATACCTGGTAGCTTAACAATTACGGAGCATGGCCCGTTTGGTTCGATGTTTACAAGATACATAGCAAACCTTAACAAAGATAGAAAAGTGACACCTGTTCCTAAAATAGTGGTGTATATTACTTTATATCTACATCATCTCATATATATATATATGTTATGCGTATATATACATATACATATACATATACATATACATATACATGCATACATACGTACATACATACATACATACATACATGCATGCATGCATACATACATACATACATACATACATAAATATGGCTCAAACTTAGGTAGCCCAGGATTTGGATGGCAAGGGGTGGGCCCATGATCCAACTTCTGTGGCTCCGGTCTTGATGTTACCGACCATCCCAGTGAGGGAAAATTGATGGAATTCATGGAATGATCTATCGAGTGATCAATGGATTAACCATGAAATCAATCATTCTCCATGGTTTATCACTATGATTACATACTATGTCATACTATGTGTTCTACTGCTGACCATTTTCAAAAATCCCATAGAAAAACATCATTGCGCTGTTGGGGCAGGCTTACTTGGAGACGAAGCGGGCTGCCTTCCCGTCACTCGGCGATGCCCAGAACCATTGGGAAAGCCACGAATTTGAGGTGTGCAACGAACTTCGGAACATTCTTGGGACATATGTATATACAATTATATATATATACATTTATATTTTTCTAGTACTTTCCCAGTTGTTGATGTTGCTTGTGATATCCTAACAGTTTTCTTCCTCAATGGCAGCCTTTGAGGCGTTTCTACTTCTTGTCGGACGACGAGTTGTTGAGCATCATGTCTCAGACCAGGCGGTTTTGACACGGGCGGCGCGGGTGGCTACTCGTTTTTTAATGAGACATTTGGCGTAGCTCTCCGGGTTTATCCCTGGAAGATGTTGATGATGTTGATTTTTCCCCGGAAAATTTGATGCATGAGTTGGCATGAGGTTTCCAACATAGAAGCAGATTGGAACCAATGATACTCTGGCTGTTTTTTTTTGGGGGGCCGAAATCCTGATAGGTAGAGGGTCCCGATGGCGCCTTGGATCAGGGGATGTTTGGTATCCTTATTGACGTGTCATTTGTGCACCGAAAGACTCACTTGAGAGCCAGTCTGTCCGGAATTTCTTTGGACAACTTCAAATTCCACCAGGGTTTTGAACGATTTGAAAGGGAAACCACCTTGGCTTTGGAGCATCTCCCATTTCTGGACAGACACCAGATCACATGGAAATCTATGGATAGATCTCCTCGTGGGAGTTCTTGGGGTCACACAAAAAACTCCATCCCACCGCCCTTCAAGATCTATATACATGTGCCGCAGGCCAAAGGTTCAAGTTTCATGCAGTCATCATTTGCACCAGGAGATGTGAAGCGAAGCCCCATGGACTTGTCGGTTGTAGACACCTAGAATGAGTCCCTTCTCTTCAAGGTTTAGGACCATGAAACAGAGGGAAAAAACCATCCAAAGTGCTGCGCTTTCCAAGTCTACAACGTAAAAATGATGTCTGACTGTAAAAAACACGTGTTTTCGCCGTGATACAGCTCCACCTTGGCTCCCCAACACTTCCTATCCATGCCTCGATCGGAAATGATGCGCGAATGCCTGCGGCTGAGGAGAGAAGATGACTCTTTTGGATTGACTTATGAATAAGAACCATGTTGGATCCACTTCATTTTGAAAACCAGACCTTTTGATATACAACAACAATAATATCAGTTACTATTAATATCAGTTACTATTAATTTTCATCCATTTAATATATTGGATCATCATTTTTTAAATTTACATCTTAATAGTGCCGCTATTTGATTTTGGGATTCCACTTTTGACATTGACCGCAGAACGGAGCCGCAGGCCTTCGCAGCCGCAGCGTTTAGTCAACGCATCCATCAGTGCAAGAAATGGTCAGAGGCGAAGGGTTGGGAGGACCATTTTATAGTATAAATAATTATAAAACATAATATAGTAAGATATTACTAATATCAACAATAATAATTTTACAAGAATAATAAATGTACAATAATAATAATAGTAACTAATAATAATAACAATATAGAGGACAAACCATGAAGAAATGGGGTGACTCATGGTGCCTCATGGAGATTTTCATGGGATGTCGATGGTTCACCAATGGGCAACATGGGATCATTTTTCTGAGACCCCAAGAGGTGAATTTCCAGAGAGCTGTGGAGACCCCAAGCATTTTTAGGAGGTAAAGAATCTACACACCTGCCATTTTCCACTAGGATCGTTATGTTAGATTTCCACTAGCGGATCGTCAGCCACATCGCCATCCACAATCGCAATCACTATGATCTCCACCCCCATCGCCATCGCCGTGACCATCACCATAATAATGATAATAATATCCATCACGATAATACTATACTACTAATAACAAAAATAATCATCACCATCACCATCCCCATCCCCATCATCATCATCGTCGTCGTCGTCGTCATCATCATCATCATCATCATCACCATCACCATCACCATCACCATCACCATCACCATCACCATCACCACCACCACCACCACCATCATCATCATCATGATCATGATCATGATCATGATCATGACCATTATCATGTCAACCCCGAGTAATAAACCGCGGTTTATAAATTAGGGGTTCTCCCAATGGCGAGGACTTGCTACTTAAATGGTACGCCCCTTCAAACAGCACAAGGGGTTTCATTTACATATATGGGGTTGACATTAACCACCACACGATTTTTATGGCAACGCACATTTGGAAATTGGGGTTGGATGGAATAGAACCGACCAACAACTATCTCGAACCAACCAACAAAAGGCCTGGGAATAGGTCATTTTCGCCATAGCAACCTGTAGTTGAACCATTCCAAAATGGCGCACCAGAACGGTCTTACAATATCAGATGGGAAAAAAAACAACAGATTTTGGAGTACTTGGTATTGACCCACACCCACATGTATGGCTACAACAAGCTGAAATGAGGCCTGTTCGACTTGTCAATAGGGTTTTCCAACCACTAGCTTTAAATCATCCCAGTACTAGGATCAGTACTGGTTGATGGGGGGCATTGGATATGGTTTCAGGCCAAAAAAACCTGGTGTGCAGTGGATTTTTGATCCCGACGAGGACTTGGCTTTTCTCGGTTTCGGATTTTTGACCCTCATTTTCAGACATGCCGTTGCTGATGTTCCAAGAATTACAGGGCGAATTCCATGAAATCCCCATGAAATCACCATGAAATGCTCATTTTCCCGGGAAAATCCACCATTCTTCAGGCCATATGGCTGCTCTCCACTGCGCCCTCCCGGCGCCACGTTGCGGACCTCATCTGCCACGGTGCGGCCCTGGGACGGCGACGGCGGAAAGCGCCGTGGCGCCGGGCGGTGGCACTGCAAAGGAAGCTGCGGGGAGAGCGGATGGAGGCGCTGCAAAAACATGGGGAGAATTATTTATTTGAGCTATGGTCAATACTCATGGTTAATAACCATTAATAGGGGCTAGTCATCCAATGGTTCATAGGGATTTATAATAACCATTATAAGGATCCTTATTATGGATGGGATGATAGGTGTTCATGGGGAGAATTACCCTCTGGTTATGTCAAAATAGCTATTGAAAATGGCCATAGAAATAGTGGATTTTCCCATGAAAAATGGTGGATCTTTCCATAGCTATGTTAAATTACCAGAGGGTATCTGGTTATTTGATGACCCAGCTTTTTGGGATATCTGGTTATTTGATGATAAATAACCTTAAGTTATTTATGTTATTTGAAATCACCAAATGTTTATGGAGGTTATTTCAAATATCCCAGAATCCCAGCCATAAATGTCCCATACAATTTAACATCCAATGGTTTAATGGGATATTTGGCATCCGATAGAGGTTATGTATATACATCAAAGGAGGATATCCAAATAGAGGAGCCGTTAATGCGATATCTTAAAATTGGGGGAGGAGGGGTAATTACGTCAAGTAATAGTCAGGGTTTATGAATCAGAAATTAGCATTAATATATATATATATATAATATAATTGTATATGGAGGCTTCCAAAAATGGGGGTAGCCGTAAATCATCCATTTATGGATGGATTTTCCCATTATAAACCATCCAGCTATTGGGGATCCCCCATTCATATCATGATGAACTGATGGCATGTAGATGACCCAATAGTTACAGTCAATCATTTTGATGCTTCAATCTGGGCAACTAACAATATAGTTGATGTGCTAATATATGTAGATACGTATTAATTAATTATATATATACACATTGATTATATATATACACATACAGTACACATTATATACTCATTTCATAGTAGTATATACTATGGGTAATATATACTTTTGATGGGTCAATTAGTCTCAATTCGCCCCACTTCCGGTGTGGCCTCAGTTGTCGTCCATCTTCTACAACCTGCTGCTGGGTGCGCCAGAGGAATGGCGGAAGAGCTTCCTGTTGCTCCAGGTTCCTGTGAGACGCCCTTCAGCTTCGGGTCTGAAGAGTAGGGCTTACATTCACACTTGAGTCGGATTCACAATCTAAGACCAACCAAACCACAACTTGTTTTTGGCTTTGAAAGTCAAGACTAAGTAAACCATGGAATTTTGGTCATTTTTCTCCGTAGATCATCCACTATTTTGGCCTCCGCAGTGCTAGGAGATGCGACAAGAAGAGATTGAGACCTCCGTTGTGTCGTTCAGCACCGTCATGAGACCGGCGGCTGAAACCGATGGCGGTTGGAGAATGGCATGGACCTTGCTGCGGAGTATGTACCTTTGGAGAAGGATTCAGCACTTTTGGCATCACCTTGACCTTGGCTGCCCCTTCAGGGTCCATTGATTCACACCTGGTTTTTTGATTCTGTCAAAGCCTAGACTTTTGGGCCTTGCGTTTGCACAGCAGGCAATGCATTGCGGCATTGCGGCATTGCCTCTAAAGATTCAAATTTTTGGTGTTTTCGCGAGCTTTGCACCATGAGAAGAGTCCCATGCCCTTTATGAGGCCTTTTGCCACACTTGTTGGATGGTTTATGGTGGTTTTTATTTCAATTTCGCTCATCCACTGTTATTGGGGAATCGGGAATGGCACCTCTTATTATCGTCACTATCATTCTTGTTATTGTCAATTGTCATTATCATTATCACCATTGGATGTTGAAACACACATATGTAATATATATATATGTATATATATATATGTATATATATACATATATATACATATATGTATAAATACAGTATATACATATATTTACCTGAATGTGCTCACGATTTTTTTTTCTTCGTCTTAGGCAATGCGGCAAGTTGTGTCCAGAAGTTGTGCCAGGCACTTTTCAGTCCGCCTGGATGCCATCAGCTACAGCTCTGCTATGCCCAAGGCTGCAAGGCTCGCCGACATGGGGATTTTCAGGATTTTCCTCAGAATTACCTTCTGGTTATGTCAAAATAGCTATTGAAAATGGCTATTTATAATGGATTTTCCCATGAAAAATGGGTGATTTTCTATAGTTATGTAAACGTTTACCAGAGGGTAGCATTTAAATCCAATTTAAGGGGAGCCTCCATTTTGAGACAACCTCGTATCATATCATCTTATAGTATTCACATATATTGACATTCGTTGAACAGCTTTAACCAACAAAGATGGGGAGAAGTTGGATACCCAGCTGAAATCCTGCACCAGTTGGATGGGAAGTTTATCCCCTTGCCTAAAACACTCCTATTATTCACAGCAGTCTTTCATAGTTAGCTGTTGCCAACTGGTGCATGATTTTGTCCACAGTTGTTAAAAAAAATGATTCTTGGGAGTGTAAAGTTTTAAAGGGGTTGCCATTTCTCGCAGCTGTCACCCCGCCCCGCCCACAAATGAACCTCCATCTTTTAAATCTTACCCCACCATTGGTCAATTGGAGCCGCAAATCGTTGATGATTCATTTCGCAGGTTTCAGTCCCCATTTTTGATGGATAGAATCCCCATTTTTGGTGCATAATTCCTAAATGAATCATCACATTTCCCCATAGATACTTTGCATTTGACGCCATAATTTCATTTGCCCAAATTTCCCCAAGATTTCAATTTGATCTTGCCATTAGATCAGTAAACTCAGTAAACTCCCAGGTGGCCGCTGGTTCTGGCGCTGACCTCCCAGCTCCGCTGTGCGCTGGGCACGGAGGACGTGGTGCTTTGCAGCGACGCTGCCAGGTGCTGCGCCCGCCCCGAAGGCCTGGAAGGCCCCGAAGGGCGGTGGTGGAGGGCGATGGAGATGCTGACGGCGGCGAGAAAACGTGGGGTAGAGATGAACCTTGGAGGATTTGATGATTTTAGTAGGGTTTTGGTGCATTTTAATGGATCTGTTGATTAATTTTAAATGGATTTTACTTGCATATTGACATTTCAGGATGTTATGGCACCCCCAAAAAAAACTTAAACAGGATGGAAAAGCTTAAAGTGACCGCTCTTTTAGTAGCATTTTACCTGCATTTATTCAGGTTGCTATCACTGGTCAGCCTGGGACAGATTAAAAACACGTTCGTTGATCTTCTTTTGGGCAGTCTTCACCATGGATTTTCTCTTGATGTTTGGTGGAATTCATGTGCCATCCCCCAGTTTATTCATATGGAGGGTAACATTGCGATAGTAGATTACGTGGGGACTAGACTAAAAACCCCCCAATTTTGATCCTACATGATCAGTTACAGCGTTGACAAATTCATGGGTCGATGTGATTTTTAGCCAATGAACAATTCTGTTAGATCAATCTTGGGGATTCTTTGGGTATGGCTTCAAAGACTCACCAAAAGTAAAATCACGTACCCTCTGGTTATGTCAAACATAGCTATTGAAAATGGCCATAGAAATAGTGGATTTTCCCATTAAAAATGGTGATTTTCCATAGCTACGTGAAATTACCAGAGGGTACATTGGAGATGGGTTTATTGTGGTGCTTACCATTACTATTAAGCCCGGATGAATTAAAATAATTAAAACACCCTGGTTACCCGGTTGATGAATTGGGTGGTTGCCATACACAAGGATGAGTTCTCTATTGGAAGTTGGATGAGATGGTGGATCTGGCTTGGTTGGAGACTATAGGAGCCCCCAAAATAGATAGAAAAGCAATAATGATATATACATATATTATCACTATTCCAGTAGGATTTTCCACATTTCTGCATCTTTTGTGTCTGTTGCTATGAATGCTTTCTTAGATGTCATGACACTTATGCCACTCACAATCTCGCTCCAAGGAACGCCCTGGCCTTAAGTGCTGCCTGTGCTCAGTGGATCGACGGCTTGCAGCTCTTGAGCTCCTCGCGCCGTGGACGCATGGCTGTGAGTCGCGTGGTGCAAGGCATGGCACAGGATACCTGTGGTAAGGCTGAGCAGTGGCGCTGGGCCATGCGCATTTTTGAAGCCGAGAGGTTGGAATCTTGGATGAAGGGAGATGGAAAACTCTCCATGTGGCTTATTACAGACGGCAATTTTGCGACATGGAAATTGTACTGCATTTTTTTTTCTAAATGTATGCTTTTCTTTCCCCATGGGAGTGACTTTTCACAGAAATGGTGATGGTCTAGCTCTTCAGCGTGGGAGTTTGAATGCTGCTTTGATGGCAATGATGGGAAGGTAGCAACATGCTGATCATATTTTGAAACAGAAACATATTTGTTTATGATAAACCTGGTCAAGCTTTACTTTGTCTGTACCCCATGACTCCCGCGGTTCAAAGTTATTCTTACGTGGGAAAATTATTGCAATATCATTTTCGTGAGTTGTAGGCCACCAATGCATACTACACCAAATAACAGCCAAAAAAGCATTTGCGTTTGATCATGTATCATGTATCTCTCATTTTCTCGAAAAAAGAACTGCACATGAGACAGAATTCGATCCAACTGCCCCTTTGTTCAGACATGTTTGATCTGGTTGATTCATGACCTGAACGGCTGCGAATTTCCAGATCCAAGGATCCGGTCGGCTGCAGTAGCTGCATCAGCGCCTGCAAGCACTGGCGGATGGCGTTGACCTTCCTGGAGACCAGCAACTGCTTGGGACTGGAAGCCACTTAGGCTGAAACGATCCCAGCAGTTCTGTAGAGGAGCACTGTTGTTGTTCTTCTTCTTATTTTTCATATCTTTGTTCTAGTCTCATACCTGATGATGTCCCATTTTATCTATAGTATACTCATCACTTTTATACACACATATACATATACATGTACATATACATATGCATATACATATACATATACATATCATCATAATCATATAACCATTGTGATGTGATGTGATATATATATATAAATAACATATTAGTAGTTATATATATATATTATGTATTGTATATAGTAAATACACATAACCTGAGGCCAGCATCGAATGCCTTAACGCCGCTGCTGCCAGCTCCGGCCGCTGGACGTGGCCGACGGCCCTCAGGCGGCTGCTGGACGTGAAGCTGCAGGTCTGGTGCTACCCGGATGAAGCAGTGGATATTCAGTAGTGAAATGACACACGCACACACATATATGAGCTATGGTCAATACTCATGGTTAATAAATAGGGGCTAGTCATCCAATGGTTCATAGGGATTTATAATAACCATTATTTTTAAATGGGGATGGGTCAAAACCCTGGTACCGTGCCGTGAACCCCTAAAAATAGCTGGGATTTATGGATGTGAATAACCCACTAAAAATGTATCTATAGGTATTGACCCATACCCAAATAGGGATTCCCTATGTTACATCATGTCACATCTATATTGTTGTTGCTCATATTTTTTTTTGAGGTTAAACTAACGTACTAGTAAATCTTCATATTTAGCATACCTTCTTGGGGATTCGGAGTAGACGTGCATATTGCTGGGGGTGGTAAAGCCAGGATAGTCTCATCCATCTTTTTTTTTTCCGCCACCCCCCGAAAAAGCATGGTGGATGTAGGGGATAAAGCACACATATTTGGGACCATGCGACGGGGGTGTTTAATATTAGGGAGATGGGATTACGGATCATCCACAGCTATGGGATTTTTGTTTTGGCTAAAACATATCCAACGCACATGATCAGATTGGATCACATTGGCGCTTTTTCTTCTCTATATCCATATGATGGTGGTACCATTTTTACGGTGAATGGGGATATAAAACCCATTAAAACACAATTACTCAAGGCAAGTCACAACCCACACTTATTTGACACCGGTTCAGCTTTCCAATTCGAAAAGGCTCCCAGTGGTTAAACAATCATCCATACATTAAAACTGATTATCCCGCTGTAGAAAATGGGTGTTTCCCAGGCACGTTGGATTCCTAAGGAATTTGCCAATGCAGAAATTCCAAAGACAGTCTTTCTAAATCACACACAAACCACAGTTTTCTGTTCATCAAAATCCAGATTCTCACCTCATAAAACCACCATTTTTCGCGTGATGAAGCTACGAAACCCCATGGTTTTTTGCCCTTTTTCCAGGCAAGCCTAGTGACCTTCAACCAAGCCCTGCAGCTTCCGGCCTGGCAAAAGTCCCTGCAGTTGCGGGAGAAGCTGGAGATGAGCCAGCTGGAACCGGATCAGGTGGGGTACATACACATTGGTATACCCAGAATTTTTAGTGTATTTACCAGTTTATCATATCATATCATATCATATCATATCATATCATATCATATCATATATATATATATGTCTATATCTCTGTATCTCTGTATCTCTATATCTCTATATCTCTATATACATATCTATATATATATATATATCTATATCTATATATCTATATGGGGTTAATGTGGTAAACCCCACTGATGCCATATAAACATCACTTGGTAATGGCCCTGCGACTTATTTTTTTCAGGTCACCGTGACGAGCTTGGTGTCAACTCTGGGGCAAGGCCTCCAATGGCAGCTGGCCATGTTGCTGAAGCCGGAGGCGTGGCGCAGCGGAAGGGTGTTCTCCATTGCAGAGGGTAAAGATAACCACAGCCTCTGTGGGAGTTGGGAGGTTTTCCAATTGAGATAGGAAAGTTCAACTTGGTTCAACAACCAATTTGAGCTATTTGATATATTTGTTTCTGGTATCAATGATGTTGTGTTAGAGCTAGAGATGATGTTTGTGTCGTTAATATTTCCAACTGACCAGCTGATTATTCCTGGCATCAGAGAGATCGTTCGCATTTTTGGTTGGGATCTGAACGTTGACCTACACCCAGAAGTACCTTGAAGAAGTGGTTTGGAGAAACCATGATAGCAGGTTATATCAAGTTATATCACCACTTTCATGGGTATCCTGAAAAATATTTACATGGCCAATTCAGCCATTCTCCCATTTCCTATGGTTCAAAGCCTCTATTCTCCTGGAAATGTTCGATTTCCTAAAAGCCACATTCTTCATTGATGGCCGACATTCTCCTGGAAAAAGATATCGCTCTGGCTGGTTGAACACCCAAGGACTTTGATGGATTAGAGTCCAGCATTTTTGTTGAATGAACCTGATTTTTAGGACAAACCACGTGTGTTGCCACGAAAAAAACAAAACACATCCCTCTTTGATTGCTGGAAATCACGGTTTTTGATGGGTAGTAACTCTATAGATGTGACATCTGGCCAATCATATCACTGTTTTTTCTCCTATAAATCTCCGCCATGGCAGGCCTCCACTAAGGCGCGAGGTGCTATCGCCTCCATCAGCAGCTGGCGCGAGGCTTTGATGGAGGCCAGGAGCTGCAGGCCTGGACCATCCTGAAGATCATGGATATCATGGGCTTATGTTTGGATCACCACATATCAAACCAATAAATCATGGATTTTTGTATGGATTTTTGATGTGATATAGAACCAAAGATATTGTAAGATATATCACTGATAATATCAGCCTGTATCTCAGTGTGACTCTCTGTTTTCGACTTTGGGTGATTGGATCAGATTTTTGGTGATTGGAATTGGTTGTTGACCTGTTCGGAAAGCGCTAGGCCTGTGATCAGCAGCATCTTGCCCCGTTTATGGCCGAAGTGGCGGACGGCTGGCCAAGTCTTGAAGGATTTGACCGACTTAGGGTCTGACAACCCAGGGGCACGGTGGGCCGAGGACACCCTGGATGGGATGTTCTGGTGAGAATATAGTGAATATAGATCTTCCTGGAAGTTTGGAGCCTCATTTCAAGAAAAGTCGCTGTCTATTTGAGTATCTAAGCAGAGATTCAGAGATTCACTTGTTTTTGAGGTTCCCTTAGTTTGAGAAACACCAAAATCAGGGTCTTCGACCCAGTTTCTCCCAGATCGGGTTGGACGGTGTTGTCCTGGGTCGGTGGAAGCCTGAAGTTGGCTTCCAAGACACTTGGCTGGCCAAGGAGCCTCCAAGTGGCAACCTACGGTGCAGCCGCCTTGAGCCTGGGCAGCAGCAGCTGGCGCTGGCCGCTGCAGCTGCTACGGGACATGGCGTCGCAAGGCCTCGTGGCCAATGTGGGGAGGCCCAGGTCGCAGCTGTTGGTCCTCCGGGTGTCTCTTGCTATCCTTAGGGGGTCAAGTTTCTGTTGGAACATGTTGGGTGTCCAAAAAACAGATATAGGTGGGATGATGCCATGCTATTTTCCCCACATGTGCCACATGTTTCATGGATGTGCCAAGGCGCTGTCCCTGAACTCGGCCTTGGCCGGTGGAAGATTCCCCTGGCCCCGCGCGCTGCAGCTGGCCATGTGTGGAGCCTCCAACGACTATGTAGTGAACTCGGCACTGGCCTGCATGGCGCGGAGCACAAAAAGGGCCATGATGGGGTGCTGTGGAGTGGGTCCAACCATGGTACGATTTTCATAGGATATTATATATATATATACATATTATGTATATAACGCTAATTATCAAACCTGGAACTATATAGATGTTGATTCTGAGATGACGATCCTAATTCCACTAGAATCCCTTTATTTCCCTTTTCTTTGGGCCAGAAAAATGCCAGGAATCCAGAGGCTGTCCAGGAGCACCTCTGCAAATGTTTCGATGCCATCAGTTTCGTCACCTTTACCGAGGCATCGAGCTGTTTTCTCGGGAATGACGGAAGGGATGGGGGAAGCGGAAGGAGAAGCTTTGGCAGATTGGCTTTCGGATCTTTTCGGAGTTTCCACCTTTGTTGGGATGGGATGGCATCAGTGGGATACATCTATATATCCTGGACTTGTTGTGTCCTCTGAGCCAGGAAAAGAAGAAGGACATCATCGACATGAATGACATGATCAAAGAAAAGGTGCACGACACCGTTTCTGAAGTTTTGGGTGCTTGGAATTTGCTCCACTTTTTTGACGGGAAACGAGACTCCTCTTTTGGGGATCCTGGGTTGCCTAATAGCTGGAATACTGTATAACTCTGTTTTATTCAGCTGAAAAAACAATTAAAACTCTTCATTTGACAAAGATGATAATATGTGTCAAATGGGGAACACAGCCATTAAACATGATTAAAAAGAATCAAACATCATTAAAAACTATCAAACACCATTAAACATCATTAAACACCATTAAACACCATTAACGCATCATTAAACATCATTAAACACCATCAAACATCATTAAAAACAATGAAACATCATTATCCCGGCAAGAGACCCCAAACAGTTTGGGGGGGAGTAAAAGGATAATGTATTTTAATGTCGATGATGATGATGATGATGATGTTAATGTTAATGATGATGTTGATGATGATGGTGATGTTGTTGTTGTTGTTGTTGATGATGATGATGATGATGATGTTGCTGCTGCTGATGATGATGATGATGATGATGAGGATGATGATGATGATGATGATGATGTTGAGGATCATGATGTCAAGGGAGAGGAAGATGATGTTGATGTTGAGGAGAAGGAAGATGATGATGTTGAGGAGGAACACTTTGCACGAGCCTGCGCAGTCGAAACGCATGTCAAAATTTCAGGAGAGCCACTTTATACTAATTTATACGCCATTACTGTAAAAAAAACATCATTCAAAATCATTAGAGATCATGAAACATCATGAAACGCCATTGAACACTATCAAAAACCCTCAAACATCATTTAAAACATTAAAAAAACTATGATGCTATCGATTCAGACCATTTCACCGCGGCCAGGTGCCCTTCACCACTCCCGTGCAGACCTCTGGAAGCCCTGTGGAGAAGTGGCGCCTTGCCTCGATGACCGCGCCCGCTGTGGCTATAAACCACCCGACTGGGAATGGTAACCGTAACGATAGCACCTTATTTACGGTGACTGGGGGATGGTAAACATGACATGTTTTTTTTTTTTTTTTAATCCATATTGGAGATATTGACCATACGAGAATTTTTTTTTAATGATGGGTATCTATGGTTATATCAATAATTAATGATATCATATTGAACTGAATATTTTATTCTTGGAAGATATTCACCATTATCCTTTGGATCCAGTTACCCGTTAACCAAAAAATTGCGAGTTGGAAAAATCACCAGTTTCAATAGGTAAATCATCTATGGATGGGCCATTTCCCGTTACTATATGCCGTACTAACGAACAAAGCAAGGGATTTCCCTAGAGCTGCGGCCTGAGCTGCTGGTGTTAATCCCGATCCTGCACAGGTTGGGTGATATCGAACAACGCATGGTGGAAAGCCTTCATGCCGTGACCAAGGCAGGGATGTGTCAACCGCGGATGAGACCAAACCTTAGAAAAAATTAGGAGGATTAGCCTCCAAGAGTCAGAATCTATTACTAAACTGTGATCTTTCCAATGATATCAACGGCCTCGGAGTTGATCAATCCGGGCTTCACATTACATTGTATATACAATATGAATCAGTATTATACATCTATCTTACCCGTTGAACATCAGGAAATTTCTTGAATTTCTTGAGGTCCCAAAAGGTGGCCCCAGAGATTCCAGGTGGCTTCCTCTCACGATCCATGCTGGCTCCGTTCTGTTGTTTGGGCAGGCAGCAGTGGGTGCATACCCAGAGGTGCCCGTGGAGACGGCTTTTGTGGACAAACTTGAGACTTGAGCACTCCTCGACTGGTTGTTTCTTACAATGGGGGATCCCCAAAACCATAGGTTTCAACAGCAAAATGGTCTAATTTCTAAGATGATTTGGGGGTAGCCCCATGACTTAGGAAACCTCCAACTGGGTAAAGCCCAGCCATCCGATTTCTGTCATCCACCACTGCAGAGACAACCGTCATACCGGTTGAGCCTGCGAATCCCTAAGGGTTGATTTCAGGTAGCATTGGGTCACCATCTGGTTGAAATTGTTTTGGAGAATGTTAGGAACCTCACAGACAAATCTTTGAAATCCCATTCTTTCCTGACACCATCCCAACCTGTTACCGGAGCAGCTCAGCCATCTTCGTTCTTCGCCAGGATGGCATCATCCGAAAGGATTGGCTCTTTGGACCCTTCCCCGCCCAATCGGCCGCACCTGCACGTGACGGGGCCGACGGGGCCAGTGGTCCGTTTGTGGGCCTGCAAAGTTGTAACATCTTTGCGATTGGGCCAAGTGTTGTTGTTACCAAAGGGAAGTTATGGTCAGTTTGTGCACGAAACCAATTCTTGGGAATTCCCAAATTTGACCTGTCGCCCCCATCCCCAGATGTTTCAGGTTTGACCCTGATGCACACCGCTTTTGAGATGGGTACGACTAAGTCTAGGCAGCTGTGGCTCAAACTGAGGTTCCCGAACACCCAAGTCTGCTGATCTTTGGTGATTTTCCTGTACCAAAAACCATCACATCCATATGGAGGTTTCCACAAATGGGGGTACCCCCATGACTCAGGATGTTTTTTTTTCGTGGAAAAGCCATCTTTAATTTGGATGATTTGGGGGTACCCCCATGACTCAGGAAACCTTCATATCATCCATGGCCTTTTGCCAGGCTCTGGCGGTGGATCAGATCATGTGGACCAGCTGTGCTGAGGAGGCCTTGAATCAGGTGGAAGCCGGCGATGCCGAGGCGGGGTGCTGGCAGTGCCCCAGATATCATGGGGGGTTATATTAGAAATGGGGATGGCCAATGGTCATAATATGGTTTTTAAAGAACTATATATATATATATATGTATACACATAATATACATAATATACATAATATACATAATATACATAATATACATAATATACATAATATACATAATATACATAATATACATATAATATACATATAATATAATATCATACTTTGGCATTATATTGAATATCCCAGCATGTCTCAAAATGCTTTCATATGATGATGTGGTCATAAGAAACGGTGGATTGACCCAATCACCAGCGCCTGGGCGAGGCCATGAAGCGAAATATTGCCTTCACCAACAAGCAAAAGGAGTCTCCTGGCGATCAGATCTTTTTTGGAGCTGTTGGAGTTTTGGAAGGCCATTGGAAGCCACATTTTCCAACATTTTTGTGTTTTTCGGATTCTTGGTCCGGCGGAATCGGAACCCTCTTGTTGGTTTGGCGATTGGCCTCCAGGGTGATGAAGGGTGAAATGTTCCCTGCAACCACTCCTTAGGATGGAGGTATTCGCTTAGATCACTTAGCTATTTGAAATCTGTAAACCATGAAGGTCCTCCCCCAGCTTCTTCCTTAGCATTTTTTGGTGTCAAGAGGTCTCAAGAAACAGGCACCCATGTGAGTATGACTTGGTGGCCCAGGAAACTTAGACTTAGACAGACTTATGCATCCTTCGCTGTTCCCGAGGCACAGTGTTGATTTGGTCAGGTTGGACCTGACCAAGTTGCAACGCGTCCGGGGTCACAGAAGCGACCTGTCATGTCATGGACATCGAATTGCTGTGGAAAATTGAGGTATGGCTCAAAATGATCACCCCACCAAAAATGGATGATTTGAGACTACTTAAAACTGAAGATTTTTCTGGGTCCTTAGCCTCCATAGCCCAATTTGATTCATAGCCATGTTGAGACTTTATTGATCTTTCTATTTTGAGCGCGGAGGTCTTGATGGGTGCTCTCATCGTGCTGGATGCTGGGATCCTGGCTTGGCAGCCACATCATGAGCTCATCCAATTCCAATCGAAACTAATCGACATGTCCCAATGTTCATTCCAGTTTCTTCTAGTTTCCACTAGTTTCCAGTGCTTTTCCTCATGTTTTCTGAAGATTTCCGCACTTTCTATCATTGTTCCCTCATTTTTCCCTGGGGTTTCCACATTTTCCTTCAACAATTCATCCCCTTTCCAGCCATTTTTCAAGGTGCATGGCATCTCGGTTCTGGAGCAGATCGAGGCTGCCAAGTGCAGGTGGGACACTTCGCCCAGGAGACAGTACTTGAATGATGTTGAATGGATTGAATGGATAGATTTTGAATGATTTTGAACATCAGAAACTTCAAAAAATTGGGAGCGAGCCAGATTTAACTATGATTTAACCATAAGAACAACACCACAAAAGGAGACAAAAAGGGCTATATTTGTGGAATCTACTGAATCAAGAATTTAGCCAGCAAAAAACAATCCATACTCTAATTGGTTGTTTCCCCTGCGGGACATGATCTACATTCATGGTGGATTTTCCGTGACTCAATGTTAGTAAACACTGGAGGCTACGTTCACAAGAAAAAAGTTTTTTTTTCAGAGTTGGAGATGGGTTAAAATATGTGTTAAAATGGGTTAAAATGGTTAAACCATGTTAAACCTTTAATACAATACCATTATTTGGAGGGGTGCGCATCCATAAATCCAGCGTGCGAGTGTGTTGGGCTGTTGCCCAGTCGGTGCGTCACCATACATTTTTGGCTTTTCACATGCATCCCAAACATGGGGAAGCAATAGATTTGGGATTGAAAACCCAGAATATGAGGATGGTGTTTTCAAGTTGGGAATTATGTTCCTTTGCCAAGGAATGATTGGGCAGACTCAATACAACATGCAAATTATGCAATGGCTCAATGATGCCAGACAATTCTAGATCCACCAATAAGAGTGAGGATTGATGGCCTACGGGCCCTGTTCCTAGTTGTAATGGCATACAAGGGCTCCGCTCTTGTGACCTTTTCTGAAAACCACAGTGATTAAATTTGTATAAATTCTTTGGACCCCCCTCTATATTATATAACATTCATATATATATATATTGACGCATTATTGGTAGCGGAGGCATATTTTCCCTTTGGACAGTTCTCCCATCAGACTATCGGCAAGCAAACTTTTCGGTCAAGGTCCGTCAACGACTTCGACTGGAGCAAGCAGCTTCGCTACTACTGGGCTCTGGAAGATGTTTGCAGCTGAGATGCTCCCGTGATAGTCCTCCATGGAAGCATCTCATCTCCAACGTTTGTTCCTCCCACTAGTGCAAATTTTGGCTCCTATCAAGTCATATGGCTATGAATCAATACCTATTAATACCATTTTTAGGGGGATGAACATCCATTTACCAGCTATTTTTATGTTCACCAGGGGTACAAGGTTTTGACTCATACCAATATCCACAGAAGTGTCACAAATCATCCAAGTCATCCATGTCATCCAGGCCATATTTTCGCCAGTTTTCACCATGGATCATTGACATCTCCACGGTGTCTCCGCGCCAGGTTCCTATGCCTGGAGCTTGGGGAAATGCCACAGGTCATCCAAGATGTTGATGGCTGAAATCAATAGAAAATTCATATAGAAATCTATGGATTCTATATAGGATTGAATAGGATACTATATATGATTATCCCATGATACTATATAGAAATCATATTATGTCATATGTTTTCTAATGGGATATAAATCAATAGGATTTTTGTGGATAGATGTCCCCAAACTAGCTTCCACCTTTTGTCTTTAGACAAAAAACCCTATAAATGGAGATTTATCACTGGGAACATCATCGAATCATCAAACTCAATGTCGGATTTTCCGGCAAGCCATGCTTGAGTACCGGATGATAAACACAACAATCCAACAATGTATGAATATTTTTTTGTTTTTCCCCATTTTTTTTGCGGAACATCGTTGTTCACTCTCTTGAAGCATCCCACGAATTCTGGCATACGATTCTGGCAGTGTCAAGCCACGGCGCTCTCCGAGGTCCGATGGTACCAAGGCATCTGACACGTGCATCGTGAAACAAACCATCGCCAACATCAGGCGAGCGGCGCATGGGATGGCATGGGATGAATCGCTGGCAGCATGGCCATGATAGGGGTACTGTAATTGCCTGAACTACGGTCGTCATAGTAGGGGAGGACAGATTAATAGGAGGAGGATGATGATGATGATGGTGATGATGATGGTGATGATGATGATGATGATCAACGATCCCGAGGTACTCCTTCGAGTATTTGGGCAACACTCCTCGACTGGTGGTGACACCCCTGACGGACAAGCACCTGAGCTCAGTAGCTTTTGTGAATTGGGCAGGTGGACCACAGAATTTGGGTGGACCTGTGAGTATATATATATACATATATATATACATATATATAGGCGTAGGCATCAAAAAAAAATAAAAATGCATCAAAAAACAAATAAAAATGCATCAAAAAAAAAATAAAAATGCATCAAAAAAAAATAAAAGACGAAAGGAAGGAAGAAAGGAAGAAAGGAAGAAAGGAAGGAAGGAAGGAAGCAAGGAAAGAAAGGAAGAAAAGAAGAAAGACAGGAAGGAAAGAAGGAAGGAAGGAAGACAGAAAGGAAGGAAGGAAGAAAGGAAGAAAGGAAGGAAGAAAGGAAGGAAGAAAGGAAGGAAGAAAGGAAGAAAG